TTCAGTGTGCTGAATTTCAAACATTTGCCAATAAAGGTGGTTAGTTTTGTGTGTTACACATTTGTACGCCAAGCACGCTCATTATTACACTTTGCAAAATATAGTCATTTCCCTTTTTTAAAAAAAGGGGGGTTGCATTTCATTTTTATTACAGGATTAAAGTTCTGATAAAGCACATCTTGCAATATTTGCTTTTCTTTTCTCCTGGAAACAGAGTTCTGGGTTTTTGTTTTTGCTTTTTTGCTTTTTGATTGTGCTTTTGATCAGGGGTGTAATTCTACTGGTTCAGACTGGTATGGGTGAACCGGATGTCAAATTTGCATCTGGTTCACCAAACCTGTATTTGAACTGATCGGCTGCCCCCTCCCACCCACCCTGCCTCTCCCGGGAGCCTCCACGCAGCCCATTTTCAATGCAAATAAGTGGAGGGTCCACATGGAAGCTCTGGGAGGGGGAAAACAGGCCTTCCAGACGTCCGGAGGGCCTCCAGAGCCCAAAGAGGCCATTTTTGCCCTTGCAGAGGTGCAAGGGAAGCCTCTGTTCCTTTGGGAAGGCGAAAAACGCCCCCCCCCGGAAGTTCCAGTAGGCCACGCCCACCATGGCCATGTCACCCAGCAACTGGGCAGTGAGCCAGTTGCTGGGATTTTTGAATCCTACTCCTGCTTTTGAGCATGTTGGATGGGCTGTGGGTAGATTTTTTTCCACTCTCTTTGTAAGTGTATACGGGAATAACTGTGGGGGACAGGGCAAAGGGAATGGTCAGATAAGAGACAGCATAACCCATAGCTGCATAGTGGGCAGATGTTAGAATTGAAATAAGTAGCTTTGCATGGGAAGCAGACTTATTTTGGCTATCCTGTGTGTTGTAAGTCAAAACAAAATGAAGTTACGTAATAAATTTAGAAATTAGACACTAGAAGAAACAAAAGAATCATTTAAACAATGAAAACCTGATCTTAATGTCAGTTAATATTGGTACTTACAAAATGACGCAAAACATAATATCAGAAATATTAAAAGAGATTTTTGAAGAATAGTGGCAGAAATTATTAACTACAATATCAGTACTGTCAGTTATGATGTCTGCTTCTATGAGTAAACTATGTCTAAAAGATGTTAATGAAATAATGATAGATGTAGAACAAATTTTTCCTAATAAAATAGAAAAAAAAATATTTGAAGTGGAATTACAAGTGAGATGCCAAGAGAATGATTTGGAAAAGGACACTTTAGTGGGTATGCAAAAGAAATTGGCCAAAGGTTTAAAAATTAAAAAAGAGATGCAAACGATAAACCAAGTCAGTGAGCTGGAAAATGTTTTCTTACTGGGCCTACAAAAAAGGCTTGTTAAAATTTTGAAGAAACCTGTGCAATAGGATTTGATTTTTGTTAAATTTTTCTGTATCCCATGACAATATCTGACTGAGTTAAAGATTAAACCAGGGGTGGGATTCTACCAGTTCATACCTATTTGCTAGAACCGGTTGTTAACATTCTAAGCAGTTTGGAGAACTGGTTGTTAGAAGAAATTACTGTCCTAATCCTGTAAGGAAGGCAGGAAGGAAACATTCTGGTGTTGCTTACAGAAACTGCCTCTCTGTTAATCCTCATTACATTCTTGGCAGGACTAGACTTCCTGTTTCAGGAATGTCTCTGGAGTTTTTTTCCCCTCCTTTGCTGGTACTTTGCTTGTGTGGAGTGACCATTCAAAGTTACAATGGCACTGAAAAAAGTGACTTATGACCATTTTTCACACTTACGACTGTTGTAGCATCCCCACAGTCACGAGAGGCCATGCAAGGAGATGCGTGCCTTGATGTGACTGATATTGAGTTGGCCACACTCAGCCAATAATATGACCACCAAGCCATGTCCACCACCTAAGCCACGCCCACAGAACCAATTGTTAAAAAATTTGAATCCCACCCCTGGATTAAACCTGTTAGAAATAAAAGTAAGGAATATAAAGTTGGTTTACTTTACCAAGGTTAAAATAAGACATTTCTTTTTGCAATGTTCTGGAAACCCTTGATGGACTTTTTGCAGATACCAGAAAACTTGGAAAACTTGATGTTTATGGATGTATTTATAAGCAGGTGATGAGACATAAAATGAAGAAATATCTGTAACCTTACATAGGTTGAAGAATTACTAAATTTGTTTATACCTGTTGTGATAAAGGCTGGAAGAAATTTCTTTATATATTTCTTTTTCTTTATTGTATTCTTTTCTTTTTCTTTCATTTCTTTTCCTGCACATTTTTGTTCCCCATTCTTTTCTCTGACTGTAACTTTAGTGTGTATTAGATTTTACTATTGTAATTAAAATTGTTAATAAAAATGGGAAGGAGGCTGAGAATGTGGGGGTCTGTTTGCACGCTGGATTCATTTCAGCAGTAACATCAGTTTGGATATCTGTGAATGGATATTATAAAAAACACCTGAACTAGAAGCATTATTAGTTTCATCAATAATCAGGTTTATAGCTTTTTCATCCTTCTATATTTACTTCAGTGACTATTTAAAGATGACAATACATTAGAAGTATTTTAGCACAACCTGGTGGGCAAGTAATGAAGTGCAATAGAAATCTTTTCTTTCATAATTGGACAGAGAAGTTGGGCTGCTCAGCTTCCCCCCCCCCCCGCCCCCAACCTAATAAAGGGTTGTTTGAAGTCCACTTAGTATACATAGTTTTCCCAGGTAGATGACTCTACATTTAAGATAGCATGCACACACGCAAATTAAAACAACAGCAAGAATAACAAAAGAGTAATAAAAAGAACCGCATTAAATGGGAAGGACAAAGAACAAAGAAGGTAACTGGACAGCAAAAGTGTTAAGAAAGAGAATATTCCTGGTTATGCAATGCAAAAATAATATAGTTATCTGGCAGGAACGTCTTCCAAGCAATAGCCAGTGTTCTAATCTTCCAGCTAATTTTACAGATATTCTCAGGACCAGAGCCATTTGCAAGTACACTGATGTTTGTCAAAGTTGTTGTCTTTAAGAAGAGTAGACTGCAACATGCTGGGCTAGAGAATTCTAGGAATTCAAATCCAATCATCTTAAAGTTGCCAAGATTGAAAAACACTATTCTTCCTAGTAGTTTCCCCCCCCCACCCCCAATTATCTTCACTGTGAGTAATCTTTAACCAACCCATGGAGATGGTCATGTACACTCATCTGCCACTCTTTAAAGCAGCTGTATTTTTCCTCTGAGTCATGTAGCTGTCCTCCACAGCTCTTTTGATCCAGAGAAAAGTTGCATTTATTTTAAAGAGTTGCCAGCAGGTGCTATACAGTTTCTCTGTTTCTCTGCATTGAAAGCAAAGTTTGCCCTCAATACATGAAGCCTCACGTAGCCCTATTATTTCCTGGCTCTCCCCTTTGTTGTTACTCCATTGTGCAAATTGCATACTTTTTTGTTTCAAATTCCTCTGAAACTCTCATTTAGAAGCTTCCTTACAGATAGTCCTTGACTTGCCCATCATGGTCATAAGTCATGACAATTGTAGAACAGGTCACCTTTGTGACCAGTGCAATTTTATGACTTATTTATTTCAATGATCATTGACTTGACTGTCATAAGAGAATCAATGGTTCACTATTGACTGGTTGCTAAAAACCGGAAGTAGATTTGATTTTAGACAAAAATGTTTTAAAATGTGGTCGTGTGATTCTGCAGTGCTGCAAATGGTCATAAATGTGGATTGGCTGTAAAGTACAAATATAGATCATGGGAGGGGAGCAGCAATCAGAACTTTAGAGCCAGGTTATAGGTAGTAGTTGTAGTTGATAATTGATAATCATTTAAAAACATAAACATGAATTTATGTTTATGCATTTATAATGCATTGCATGTTCAGCCTTTCACATTGCTTGAAGTTTTTATCACCATTTTACTTTCATTTTTATAACAATATCCTATACATTATTTTTATTTTAAAATAGGAACGGTCCAAAAATATAATATCTGAAACGGTTTTCCATATAAAATTTAATGCAAAGTGCCGTCTTTCCAAAGGAATAAACTATAAAGAATAAAATAGAGCATCTTGTAAATAAAACTTCTGTTCAAGCCATAGAAACAGATTACAAAACAAAACATCTATATTAACATGTCTAAAAAAAGATAGCCGAATTAAGTTTATGCAGCTTTCGGCATTCATAACTTTAGATTTGTTGGTGATTCAAATGAATTTCTGTACGTATAGTGACATCTTGAGGCTAACTTTAGATTTGCAATTCAAAAACTTACTAGAAAGTTGTGCTTTGGCAAAATATTACAGTTGAGAAAAGGATATTGATCATACCTTCACTAGCTGAGCTCAACTCAAAGAATTTTTAAAAACTTTTTAAGGTTCTTTGCTTAGTTTGTGTGACCAAGTTTATACTAACCCAGATCACAAACTTTATTTTAAATCTCTCTTGTTTTGTTAACGTTTGTCCAAGTTGTCTCAGTTCATTATTACCATATAAACCTACAAGACTACAACCTGTTCATTTCATTTTAATATCCTATGACTCCTATGAACATTCTGCTTTCTTTCTCCATATTTAAATTGGAATCACTTTGTGATTGCTAAGGCCAATGGACCAAGACTAATTGACCTATAAAATTAACATATAATCTCTGTCGATTTTGACCACGGGTGAAAAGGTTAGGTCCCCATTTCAAGACATTTATCAATAACTCTAATGCAATATCAGAAATTCATTTTAAAATTCAAATCATTTTAGAAGTATGGGTCTAGTAGTTCTCACAAGATGGTGACTACAAGCTTATATTTGAAGCCTCATCTCTTTTTTTTTTACATACTCTGGGCATTTGGAATCAGTTGTGTTTTCTTTTTGGATACCAACCTGAATATTTTCACAGACAAACCTGTATATAAACTGTGTATGAATGACTTTCCTCTTTCCTCTTCAAAACAACAACAACAAGGAAGAGAAGAGCAATTATTTTCTTTTGGAACTATGGGAAAGATCTTTGTTTAAAAAAATGCTGTACTTTCAAAAACATTAAACAGTGCAAATCACACCTAAGTGATTAAAATCTCCATATCTCCATACAAACACACATACAACATTCACAGTCTTCTTATATTTATCCAAAAGTTCCTCATTCTTCCATGTTGTTCCTTGGAGGAAAATAATCATGAGTTTTACAAGATGTGTTCTGCATGGGGATGGCCATTTCTCATATTCTGCTTTCAATTTTCTTTTGTGGGAAGATTCTCTGTCGCGCAGACAGAGGATTGATTCAAATTCTAAGCCATGTCACTCAAAACTGGATTTGTAGGTCCATTAATAGAACTCTCTGCTTCCCTGGATGTATCCTTGGCTTTGAAATCATTGCATATTTCAGCATCATTTCCATTTTCTTGACTCATAAGTTGGAAATCGGATTCCAAAGAGTTACTCTCTTCTTCCTTCTTGACTTCATTCTGGATGTTAGTGATTTGTTCGTGGCATTGAGCATTTTGCAGCTTTCCATTCTGGGCAGGATACAGGCTTGCAATAGTATCGTAAAGAAACTGATAATCTTCCTAAATGGCATTTAAAAAGAGAGAGTTAGCATATGTGCAAATCCATCATGTATTTTCTTCCCCTGAGTAGTTTTATTTAATGATATGATAATGCTCCAAAGCCAGAGAGAAAGACACAATATGCTACCTAGATTTAATTAGCAATAGCAATAGCACTTAGACTTATATACTGCTTTATAGTTCTTTACAGCCTTCTCTGAGCAGTTTACAGAGTCAGCATATTGCCCTCAATAATTTGGGTCCTCATTTTACCCACCTCGGAAGGATGGAAGGCTGAGTCAAGCTTGAGCCTGGTAGGATTTGAACTGCCAAATTGTAGGCAGCTGGCTACAGAAGTAGCTTGCAGTATATTAATTAATTAGTTAATATATTTCAGTGTTCATAAAGTTCTGCTACTCCCACACTTGGTTTTCATGAATACAGGAAGCCTTTACAAAGGATTCTTAAATAGAAGATATGGGTAACCACTGGCAAGGTTTCCTAAACTATAGTTTGTCACTTGTCCATCACTTTCCACCCTTCCCTGCTATAGCACAGAGATATAGTAGAGAGTCCCACAACAGGGACAGGAAAGTTTTCCCTGCCTTAAATATACACAGAATGGAAGCCATATGCACTCAGTAGTTATTTCTTCGATTCAACATAGTATGCGTCTCCTACTTTATCATTAGCAAATATGTTCAATATTCAAGAATTAAATGACCACCCAAAATAAATCAAAAGGCAAATACACCAGCAAAGCAATCATTGTATGGATTCTGAACATTTGCCTACTGAATGATAATCACAATGGAAGTATTTCTATAGAAATTTCTATAGAACAGATAGACTTTAAAAAAGAAAATAAAAGAAATTAATTACTAATATAATTTACTTACAAAAGAGGAAACCATTTCTGTTCTGGCTCTACGAAGAGCTTTCACCACTTGGAAAACATCAATTACCCCTTCAGTCTCAGCACATTCCAAGAGATTTAGCAAAGCACAAAATACTCCCGTTTGTTTAGAACCATCACTATAAATATATAATATAATATAATATAAAAATATAAGATAACAGCAGCAGTAAAATGAAAAGACTGACAAAGCTTAACATAGAACAGGTAGGCCTCAACTATGACACGATTGAGCCCAAAATTGATTTTGCTAAGTGAGAAATTTGTTAAGTGAGTTTTGCCACATTTTACAATCTTTCTTGCCACAGTTGTTAAGTCAAATTAGTAACATGGTTTTTTAAATGAATCTGGTTTCCCCACTGACTTTGCTTATCAGAAGGTGGCTAAAGGTGATCACATGACACCAGGACATTGCAACTGTCAATGTGAGTGACTGGTCAAGCATCCAAATATAAATCACAGGACCAGGGGTGGGATTCAAATTTTTAACAACTGGTTCTGTGGGTGTGGCTTAGGTGGTGGGTGTGGCTTAGTGGTCATGTTATTGGCTGGGTGTGGCCAACTCAGCAACACTCACATTGAGGCACGCATCTCCTCGCAGGGCCTCTCGTGACCGTGGGGATGCTGCAACAGTCATAAGTGTGAAAAATGGTCATAAGTCACTTTTTTCAGTGCCATTGTAACTTTGAATGGTCACTCCACACAAGCAAAGTTCCAGCAAAGGAGGGGAACAAACTCCAGAGAAGTTCCTAAGTCAGGAAGTCTAGTCCTTCCAAGAATGTAATAAGGGTTAACGGAGAGGCAGTAAGCAACACCAGAATGTTTCCTTCCTGCCTTCCTTACAGGATTAGGCCAGTAATTTCTTCCAACAACCAGTTCTCAAAACTGCTTAGAATGTTAACAACTGGTTCTAGTGAATAGGTGCGAACTGGTAGAATCCCACCCCTGCACATGACCATGGGGATGCTGCAAAAGTCATAAGTATGAAACATGGTCATAAGTCACTATTTTCAGTGTCGTTGTAACTTTGAGTGGTCACTAAGTGAACTTGTACATTGAGGAATACCTCTACAACATATGTACAACTACTAAAGAAGAAATGAGAAAGAAATGCTAAATCCTAAATTAACTGGAGGGATCACCAGAAGTTCTTAAAACGTGGTCGAAAAATAAACAACTTACTTAAAACAAATGTTACCACCATTTTTGAAATAAGTGAAGAAACAAAAAGAACATTCAAATGAATTAGCAGTTCAAAGAATGACACAAGGGGGATTCAGAACAGTAATCTGTGGTTCCTAAATTTGGCTGTCTTGGAATTAGCTCCAAGAGATCAGTATGGAACCCTGGAATAATCATTGAAGGCTTAACTCGTTTTGACCAGCAGAATGCTGCAGGAGGAGTCCGTTCCATCTCACCCACCCTCACCCAGCCCACAGAGAAAAATTACAATGCTAATCCAGCTCTCGAAGAAATCCAGTCTGACATCTCCACTCTAGACTAAAGCAGTATAGAAATCTTCCTTTAGATAGGATCCAGACAGAATTATAAAACAGATAATTTAACTCCTTTTAGCATAGCATAGTATGCCACCCAGAGTCTCTTGTTTGTTAAATGGGTGGCTACATAAATTAATTTAATTCAGCAATAAATAATGCTGCTTTTTTGAACAAATGATTTATATAATAGCATAGAGGTTCATTATCATTCATATCTGTTGAACAATGTGGTGTGGATTCTCAGGAGGAAGGGGCTGTTTTCCAGAGGGCAAATAAGACAGTGGACTTTGGAAAGTTTGGTTGGCAGAAAGAGGATTAAAATGGCTCCTTCTTAGCTTTTCCCAGAGTATATTGTAGTTATGCAAATGGTTGCTTTAGTCTGGCAATATTCTGTCTTTAGGTGAACAATAATAAATGAAATTACTGTTAAGTCAGACTTGTTTCTTGGGCCTGGCATTATCACATTTTTTTTTAAGCAAGGGCAGAGCTTTCCTATTTATGGGACTGATACTATAAATTTGTACTCTGCCTCAGGATCAAGAACTATAGAACATAACCTATTCCAATATAAAGATGAAAATATTATAGATGCAACACATTAGCCCACACCTCAAAGCATGTCAGAATACCTTTAAAAGCGGTACCTACCCACAATGGACAACAAGTGGAACGTTCTTGTTCTTGTTGGTCACATTTGCTTTAGCTGCATCTTGGGTTGAAAACTTCTGTTTGAGATTCTGGATCATGGTGATTAAGTCTTGGGGGGTTTCTGGGAGAGCAGAACTATCCCATTTATGGTACTGATACTGAAACACTTTCCTGCTGTCTTTCTTCTGCAACAAATGCATATAGAACAAAACAATTTATACATGTTTAGAGCTGAGAATCCTTACTTGCATGATGCACAAAGATTAGGGGGCGTGCAAAAGCGCACCAATGTCCCTACCGTCCCTGTCCTATTGTTTCTTTTTATTTTTCTTATATGTATCCATTTCATGTATTCATAACTATGTGTATACTTATACCTGTTATCTTAGAATCGCTTGACAAAATAAAAATAAAATAAATAAATAAATAAAATAAAATACTGAACCTGGAAAGGCTGTCATAATGCTGACCCAAATGATGACTTTTGCTACTGAAAGCAAAAAAACGAAAAACAAAACCTTCACTAATGCTTCCTCAAAAGATTACCTAAAATCTTAAGGAGCTGTGAGCTTCTTTACTGAGATTATGAAAGTGTTGAATTGCTTAGTGCCTTCCTCCAGTTTGTCATGACATTGACATGACAAGATGACATTTCTGTAGCTATCTTCTGCCTGCAATAGAGACAGAATTCTCCTCTATCCAATCCAATATAAAGAAAAACACCAACCTGCAATTAGATGTAAATGACACAAACTGTTAAGAGGGATTTAGCACTAACTCACAGAACTACTCTCCAATATCTCATTGACTAAGCCAGGGGTTCCCAACCTGGGGTGCTCACACCCCCTGGGGGTGCAAGATGATATTCCAGGGGGTGCGAGAAAAGTCCAGGTAAATAATAGGATATTGGCTATGTGTTGGCATTTTTATTCCAGGAGGTGCGAGGTTCAAGTGAAATTTTATTCCAGGGGGTGCGAGGTTCGAGTGAAATTTCTTTAGGGGTGCGGGGCGAAAAAAAGGTTGGGAACCACTGGACTAGGCCAAGGGTGTCAAACTTGATTTCACTGAGGGCCACATCAGGGTTGTGTTTGACCTCTGGAGGGCAGGGAAGGATGTGCCAGGGTGGGAGTGGCTAGTTTGTTGTCACTCATTGAGGCTCTATTTTCAGCCATGTCAACCCTCCAGGGCTCCATTTTCAGTGATGATGGCTTCCTGCAGCTTCTGCCAGCAAAAATGGAGCTCTGGGAGGCTGTGTGGCCTGCCCAGGCTCCGTGTTTGGCCATGATGGCTCATGGAACCCTCTGCCAGCAAAAACGGAGCCCAGGGAGGCCATGTACATCCTCCCTAAGCTCCCTTTTTTCTGGCAGAGGCACTGTGGCTGGTCCTTTGCTGTTGCCAGAGTGGTCCCGTGGGCCAGATCTAAATACCCTGTGGACCAGATCCAGGCCCCAGGCCTTGAGTTTGACACCCCTATTTCTACAATGAATGAAGGCAAATATATATATGTCCCATGATATTGTTTTAGGATCTAATCTGAGTCGGTTACTGGGACCAGAGGTTTAATGCTGGAGCCCATCTTCAGGGAAATTCTATCCAGCAGAATGTGCTGGAGAGAATTTAGAAAGAAATTCCCTGAGGATGGGCTCTAACATGAGTTCGAAAATTTGGAAGACTAAACCTCTGGTCTCAGTGACCAGCCCAGATTGGATCCTGTTTCTACAATACTTGTTCCTTTGTACTTTCCTTCTCTCTAGTAACTGGTCAAGCCCACAGCTTTATGGTTATCATTTCTATTTCTGTTCTTGTGTTCAAACATATTGAAATGGTATACTTGAAAAAGTTAGAACAAAAGAAACTTAATTAAATAGAAAAATAAAATTACTGCAAAAAACAATCATACACAGGCATACTTATAAAGATTATCTAAAGAAAGAGAAGGATCCTCAAAAGATGTAGAGTTTGCCTGATACATACATACATATGGGCAGGGAAGGGAAGGGAAGGGAGTCTACATCCTGGTTTAAATTCAAGATAAATTCCTAATAGTTGGAGATCATTAGAATCCCCAGAAAATATGGTCAGGTGTGCTGAATTTTAATTTTAATAGTCCAGCACAGCTGAAGAGCTTCAAGTTGAGAAAGATTGCTATGAATGTGAATCCTATTTACATAACAGTAAATTTCCCTTCTTCCTACATGCTATTTTAAATCATTTGAATAGCTATAGTGTGTCTCCAAGCTGTGTGAATTAAAAGAAATATTTATGATCTCCATCAGTTCAATATTTGGAAATGTCTATAGTACTGTAGCATTTAAAATATACCCAGATTTGCTTAATGAGATTAATAACATATAGAAACAAACAGGGACACTAAAGGAAGTCAAAAATAAAACTTTGGACATGCAATCAAAAGCCAGAGATGAAGTAGATGAGGATGAATAATTAGTCCTTTTACCTTTATATGAGTTATGTCAAAGGCACGAATGGTATAACTGGGGCTACAGTTGCTGTCTTTTAGTTCAACAGTGATATTATCATATGTCATTTTTTCTTCTTGCCAATACTCTGCACAGAGTTCCTAGAATTGAAGAAAGACCAAATCAGGGTGGTAGAAGCATACATGGAAGTATGGACAAAATATAATGAGTTGCCTTGAACCCAGTTGCCTTAACCTAATCCTACGTAGCTTTTTCTCTGGTAATATCACACTACTAACTAGAGCATACAAAACATTTGCTAGACCAATACTCGAATACAGCTCATCAGTCTGGGACCCACATTACGTATCTGATATTAGCACAGTTGAGAAAGTCCAGAAATATTTCACAAGAAGAGTTCTCCACTCCTCTACTTGTTGTAAAATACCTTATGCCACCAGACTTGAAATTCTAGACCTAGAAAACCTTGAATTATGCCGTCTTCGGTCTGATCTAAGTATGGTATATATAATCATACATTGCAATGACTTACCTGTCAATGAATACTTCAGCTTCAACCATAACAACACAAGAGCATACAATAGCTACAAACTCAAGGTTAACCGCACCAAACTTGATTGCAGGAAATACGACTTCAGCAACAGAATGGTCAATGTCTGGAATACTCTACCTGACTCTGTAGTTTCTTCCCCAAACCCCCAAAACTTTAACCTTAGACTGTCTACTATTGACCTCACCCTTTCCTAAGAGGTCTGTAGCGGGCATGTATAAGTGCACCAACGTGCCTACTGTCCCTGTCCTATTGTTTCTTTTATTTTTCTTATATGTACCAATTTCATGTATTCATAACTATTTATATACTTATACCTATTATCTTGTAAGCGATTGACAAATCAAATAAATCAAATCAAATCAGAGCAATATAAAGGTAGCCTTCAACTTACAGCCAGTTATTTAGCAACTGTTTGAAGTTACAATAGCATTGAAAAAGGTGACTTATGACTGTTTTTTATAGTTATCACCTTTGACCTATGAACATGTGATCAAAATTCAGCTGCTTGGCAACTGGCTCATATTTATGACTGTTGCTGTGTTCCAAGGTCATCTTTTGTGATCTTCTGGCAAGTTGTGGGGAAGCCAGATTCACTTAACAACCGGGTTGCTAACTTATCAAGTGCAGTGATTTGCTTAACAACTGAGGCAAGAAAGGTCGTAAAGTGGGGTAAAGCTTACTTAACAAATGTCTCACTTAACAACAAAAACTTTGGGCTCAATTGTGATTGTAAGTCGAGAGCTACCTGTAATTGCCATTTTCAACTTTCCCGGTTGGCTTAAAACAAGCAAAGCCAGTAGAGGAAGCCAGATTTACTTAACAACTGCCTGGTTCACTTTAACAACTGTGGTGATTCAGTTAACAACCATAGCAAAAAAAAAGGTTGTAAAATCAGGTGCAACTCTCATAACAACCACCTTACCCAGCAAGGTAAATTCTGGTCGCAATTTTGGTCATAACTTGAGGGTTACCTGTACTTAAAACTGGCCATTTACTTTCTCGCGAATAAGGTCAAAGTGGATCATAGGACATAAACTCTGAAGATCTTTTCAAACATATGTTAGTCATGCAGCATGAAGCCCTATTTTACTACTCTTAGGAGTAGTACTACTCCTATTATTTAGACATGCAAAACTAGTGATATGGTGAGAAATAGGAACCCAGGTTAAGGAAAACTAGAAATGAATTGCCTGGATGAAATGTATGGATGCTTCTTTCATACATTTTTGTAAATCCTAATGTAAATGTGAAAGGCCAGGTAGCTCCAGAATATTTCATGCTTAATTGTGAATGATATTTAAGGGAGAAGTTCATTTAGTTTTTTAAATTAACCTTGCATTTTCAAACTAACATATGAACTCAACAGTACAACATACTGAAGATCTTTTTCTAAACACGTTTCTTGATAAATCACTTAAATACTTACAATCACGTCGTTCAAACTAGGTGCCACTGAGCCAAGATCAGGGGTGGGATCCGACAGGGTTAACTACCAGTTTGGTCATTTACGAGGTTCGGTGATTTGGGATGTGCTTCCCTGCATGCTGCCGGAGTGCGCGCCTGTAAATTGTCATCAGCATGCTGCATGCAGAGAAGCAGCCTTTCAAAAAGCCCTTTTTCCCCTGCTTTTTTAACTGCAGCTGTGCCTTGCACAGCAGCTGAAGTTGAAGGTCAGGTAAGAGCCCAGGTGGGTGGGTGGGCAAAAACATTAGCAGACATAGAACCGATTCTATGTCTGCTGCTCTTTAGAGCTGCCAGTTCTACAGAGGTGGACAGAACCTGTAGAAACCCACTCCTGGCCTACATTCAATTAGTATATTTTTTTCCCTAATGGATATGCTCTCAGTCAGGGTATGTCTACAGTGTTTGATTCAGAGAATTGAAACTGGTATTTTTCCAGAACAGAAACATCACAGTATGACTATAGAGAGAGAAATTTGCTCACCGGATTGTCTGTCAGCATAACAATCACTTTGACTTTCTTTTGATAAATCATGTTCCAGAAGTCACCTATTGTTTCTGGAAGTGGTCCTTGGGTTGCTATAATTCCGTTTTGAGCCCAGTAACTCTGTTAAATAATTGAAAAATGAAAATGAAATAATTAAAAAAACAATAGTATGAAAAGATGTAGAGTAAGATATACCAGTACACATAAATGGAATATATAGTAAATTAAAGGAAAGATAAATCACTCTCTGACATCCCTTAAAAGTTGGTAACTTGCTTTAAAGATCATGCATGCAGTTGGGAGAAATCAAATAAAACAAAAAAGGGGCAAATCTCTGTTGATTTATTTAATTCCTGATACAAAGTTCAAGAAAGCAATATATACTGATCCATATGATTTTACATATCTATAAGTAGCCATTGAGGCATGGTGGCTCAGTGGCTTAATGATGCTGGAGATGGTCTCGGCTCCAGTGGTTTGAGCCCAAGCATTATCTGTCAGGGTGAGCTCCTGAAACTTGCCTCCATTTCTGTCCGCCTAACAGCTTGAAAGCATGTTTTATGCAAGTAGATAGATAAGTACCACTTCAACAGGGAGATGAGCTGGTGCTCTGTCCAGACAGTCATATTCTTAATGGCTCTGAACCTTCCCGGTTGCATCATCCATTAGCGAGGCAATTCCAGGAAGGGAGGGGGCCTTGGTTGACACTTCAGGAAGAGCCACTCATTTTTCTCTCTGGTGCGAAACCAGCTCACCCTCCTGTGATGCACTTTGGGAAGCGTGCAAGTATTTCTTATCAGGCTTGTACCTTGGCAAGCCAAATGACTACTCTGCAATAGCATTATGGTCTCCGGATTACTGTAGCAATGCCATATGCTAATAATAATAATATCCATTGAAAGTAGGAGGGGAAGAAATCAAATACTTTTTACCTCCATGCAAAGAAATCTTATAAGGACATTTTAGGTTTTTATGTCATGAAAAATGCCTTTTCATTATTATTATATTTTAAAGTTGGAAAATAACTCTGACTTCAGAGACCCATGGCGAGGCAAAATGAATCAAGTACACGTACGGGTATAAAGGAAGCATTGATATATTTATTGGGTTCCTCTTCACAATCACTATCTTCATCAGATGAATCAACATCTTGTTCACTCTCTCTGTTCCCTTCTTCTTCGTGTTTGAATAACACTCTGTTGTAATCATCTGCACCACAAGACAGTTAGAACATGCAAGTCAAATAGTTTTACAGAAGTTAATAGCACATCTCAGTTATTCATAAACCACTACAAAAGCTATGGCAGCTTATCAGTCCTGTTAGTCTAGAAAAAATATACAAAGGATTATTATAATCATGCAAGCTGGATCCTCACTGGTGTTCCAGTGGCAGCCTTGCCTACTTGAGTCTATGATATTTCGTGCCACTCGTCCATTCTTCTAATTTTCTTTCTATTTCTCATTCTCTCCCTCTCTCTTGTCTTCTACAGCAGTCAATCAGCATTCGTTGACCACGAAATATGCCACTCAATCTTGTTGGGCTACTCCGGAAAATGCACACCTTCGTTGGGTACAAAAGAAGCAGCCCACTTGCTGGCAAACAAGGGTCAGTATAGCTATTTAGTATTTATGTTGCAAGCTCTGAGTTTGTTCCTCCTGGGTTTCCATGTGAACTTCAGAATGCTAATGTTAATTTATCTGTATACTGCTAAAGCTATAGTGTCTGTCTATTTGTAACCTTCAATTGGGTACAATGATGTGTTGTAAGGCAACAGTTTTTGAACCAAGGTACCTTAAATGGGTAAACTTACAGAATGCACCCAAAATCTAGGATTATTACACTCATAGGATTGAAATTTGGAAATGTTGTGACCACTTCAGCACTGCCATGCTGTCACACTGCTGTGGTCAGCTGTGGTCATTTCCAATGCTCTTTGATTGCTTCCTGTAAGTCAACGGGGAAGCTAGAAAGACAGGCACCAGAGAAACCCAGGTCCTGGGTCATCCTTAGCCATGGAAACTCACTGAATAACTTTGGGCCACTTTATTCTCAACCCAACCCATCTCATAGGGTTGTTACTCTGGGAAAAAAGCAGGAGGAGGAAATAATCTGTACAACATTTTGAGTCCTTATAAAAAGTGGATATAAAATTAATTAACAAATAAAGGTGATTGGAAGGACTTGGAGTTGTAAAATGACAAAGAAATTAAAAGTATGTTCATTCATCTTATATTTCTTTACCCCCCCCAAAAAAAAAAAATTTATTGTATCGCTTAAATGACTGAGGCAAAAGCTAATATTTTTAAGGGTCTCTACTTCTGCAAATTACTTAGAGAAATGTGTAACTTCTCATAGGAGCAGAAGATGCAGAAAGAAAGTTTCCATGCAGTTCATTATAAAAGGTCTAAACAAATTATTTTAAAATGTAATATTATTTAAAATTCCATGGATCATTTAGAACAGTAAAATTCAGAATATATGATTTGCAGATTTCCCCTTTCAATACTCACATGGAATTACTGTGGCACTCCGGTTTTTCTGTCTGTTTTCTTCTTTTCTACCAGCTTTCTGATTCTGCCAATTCTTGTATAAAGGCATTCGCTAAAAAAACAGACATACCAAAGAAAAGTTATAGTTAAGTAGAAATGATAAACTGTATCTCACCACTATGCTATGTTTACTTAATTTTAAATGCCAATCAACTAAAGTGAGCAGAAACAAATGGCAATGATGCAGAGTATTAACTCTGCTTAAAATTAAAGTGTTAGGTAAGCAGTCATTTAGTGTATTTATTTTATTTCATTCATTTATTTATAAAAAAGGAGTCCCTGTAGATTTTACTTAGCTAATCATTGCTGACTAAGGGAGATGGTTCTCATTGTTTCAAGGCCATGTTATGCTGGTCACATGGCCAGCATGACATTACTAAGTGCTGTTATCTTCCCACCAAAGTGGTACCTATTTACCTACTTGCATTTGCATGCTTCAAACTGCTAGATGGGCGGGAGCTGAGGTCAGGTGAGGACAGGAACTCACTCCATTGCAGAGTGCTCAGGTCTTGAACCTGGGCTGCTGGTTTTCCTGCGGCTAAGCCACTGCACTACCTCATTTATTTATATCCCATCATCATCATCATTATTATTCTTAGGAATAACTCAAGCCAGCGAACATACCCAACACACCTTCTTCTTCATATTTCCCCACAATAGCAATCCTGTGAGGTGGATTGGGCTGAAAAGGAGTGACTGTTCTAAAGTCACTCAGCCAGCTTTCCTGGCTAAGGAATAACTTGGACTCATGGTTTCTTGCTTTCTAGCCTGGTGCCTGGTGCCACTAGACTAGACTGGATATCTCTGTATAGCCAGAGAAAGAAATTTTATTTACCTGAAATTCAGCTTCCAGCAGAGAAGGTTCACTGAGAGAATCCTTTTTCTTCATCTGACTGAGATAGTTGGGCAGTTCTGAAACAAAGACTTCTGTTTCGCCAAATTGGACATATTCAACCAAAGCATGATGGATCAAGATGTACTGTGCCTAATGGGTCCAAGGATTGCAGATTTTGTAAATGGCAGTAATGGAAAGTTACAGTAAAAATGGGACTGGTAATTGAATCAATTGAATATAGCACAAAATCAAATACAATGCTACCTAGGTACTCAACATTAATTGATCCTGGGAGGCATGATGCATATCTAAAATGATGAGTACCAAACAATTTCCCCCCATAAAGAATAATGTAGTACAGGGGGGTCAATCCAGATCGCATCGCGGGCTGTATCATGATGTATCAGAATGTTTTTTGTCTTTGTGGAGCCGGGGTGGGCTTGACCTGCATGGGCCATATCTGACCTGCAGGCCATCAGTTTGACAGGCCCAATGTAGTGAGTCACAAGGCAACAACATCAACAAATTCTAGCTTGTGCATTGAGTTCCAAACAAATGATGTGTGCCAGGACAACATTTTCACTTAAAATTTCATTGAGTACCAAATTAGACGAGTTTCAAAGCAGTTGAGTACCAAAGTACCACCCTATTCTATCTGAAGTACAAGTCTTTAAAATGCCTGTAGCATATATGTTAAATGGACCTGATAGGAACTCTTGTTTGTAAAGAATTTGCTGGAGATAAGTCCCTTTGAATTCTATGGTTGTTGTTGCAGAAATATATACAATTATGGGTAAGTGAAGTAAAATTTCATAATATAACAAAGGAGATAATTATCTCATGCATTATAGAAAGGCAGTGCTAATTAATCAAACTCTTGAAATATACCTCCACTTGAACCATGAGGCATCGCTGACGCCGTAATTTTGCAATATAGCCATAGACATCAACTCGTCCTTCAGCCTCTAATGCTTCCAGCATTGCATCAATCCCAATATAGGTTCCAGTGCGTCCTACACCAGCACTGTCATAATCGTAATAAAAGAGGAAAAAAAATACAACAAGCATCATTCAAGCTGCTACTGTTAAGATTGATGGATTATAGAGAACATGCTGAGATTTGCTCTTAAATCAGTTCAACTGAACTCACAGAGATTTTGATGTCCGATAAATTTATTCCTTTAGTTACACACTTAAAGCATCCTTTTATGGTTTAAATTGTTAAGTAAAGTTTAAGCAAATGTATTTCTTAAATCATTTAGTAAAAATTGTATGTTCTTATCACTATGCAGGTTTTATCGGTATCACCTGACCGCATGTGTAAAGGAAGATCCATTGAGCACAAGCTTATTGAACAAAACTTATTTTACCTGCAATGGACTACTATTGGGCCACTAAAGAAGTTGCTTAAAGTATTGACTCGGCGGCGCAGCTTGAGCAGAAGATGGGGGTCATCAGGTACCCCATGATCTGGCCAGCTTGTAAATTGAATGTGGGTCACATCTCTTCCTGCTGACTTGTCTCTTCTCTGGAAAAAAAAAGGTCATTTAAATATCAGAAAGTCTATTTAGCAATCATTGATTAGTATGACGAAGGCCAGAGGTGAACAAGATTATGAAATGCCATCAACCTAGTGACTTTTGTTAAGACTTCTTCAGGATAATCCAGTATTAACCAACCAGGCAAAATTTACATAGTAGATATTTTGGTGTGGAATAAAGAAAAGGAGATATGAGTCAATAAACACTGGTTCACATCTCATGATTTTAGGCATTTGGCTATTATAACTATCATCTGGATGTTACATGGACTGTCTCATAGATAATATCTAGTTCTGTCAGTCCCACCAGGTAGACTAGAGAGAAAATCAATTCCGCTGGAAGACTAAAATTATACTTTACTGATATAGGCTATAATAGCAGATATAGTTCCAAATCTACTTGTTATAGTCCAGTAAATCAGGAAGTCATTTGCCTGAGTTCCTTCCAGATATTATCTTGTTTCTCAGTACCTGAAGAATGTTTCAGTCCTCTTTGGCTAGGTAATAGTTCTTGCATATTCTGACAAGGTCACCCCCATTACCTTCTACAAATATTGAGCAAACTCTTACAAGTTTTGGTGTTCTTACTTACATGGTTGATGTGCAGCTTTCGAATTATGTAGTCTGGACACATTTTGCATTCATTTATGCTTACTATAATGTCCCCATAAGATGCAGTCTCCTCCTCCATTGATGGCCAATACTTGGCACATTTGACCTATGGAAATAGAAAGATGCTCAATTGTTTCAGCAGGAAGGAACACACACTTTCTGCTTTACAGTTTGTCTTTGTTAGTGAGTATATCACACTAATGATACACATTCCTCTTACACAATGAACTACTAGAGCAAAATATATTTAGATTAAGAAGAGTTGTGGTGATGCAGTCATTAGAATGCAGTATTGCAGGCTAATTCTGCCAACTGCCAGCAGTTTAATTCTCACTGGCTCAAGGTTGACTCAGCCTTCCACCCTTCTGAGGTCAGTAAAATGAGGACCCAAATTGTTGGAGGCAATATGCTGACTCTATAAACCACTTAGAGAGGGCTGTAAAGCACTGTAAAGCAGTATCTAAGTCTAAGGACTATTGCTATTGCTAGATGGGTGTATGCTGCATGTCAAGCTTGGCCAAAGACAGGTGAAGACACTAAGTAGTTGTTTGCTTTTATTCTTTCTAGATAGCATAAATAAAAAAACAGATCACACCAGAAAAAAATGGCAGCAGTTTGAAACTAATCAAATCAAATCTTTTTTTTATGGCCCCATACCAGTGTAGATTTAACATTAGCATAGAAAAGAATAATTTTCTACACTTGTTTCTCTCATTCCAGTTTTGTAACCACCTTTTCACTGAAGCAGATTAAGTTGCTTAAAATACACTTAATAAAACAAACAGCAAATTGCAAAACCTCAAGACCATTATGTACCATTTCAGGTAGCTTATAGCAAAGAAGTTTCCTATTAAATTAATCGGATAAGCAAATTGTGTCAGCTTTCAAGTGGCCATCGACACAAAATAATGGATGGTTTAAAAGTGGAATTTTTTTTCTAAGTAAAGGAACTAATAAATAACACAATGGGTATTTTCCACTCACCTTGTTGCCTTCCTCACAGCGAGTCACCATGACAACAATGGTTGCTTTTTGTTCCCAGATCATTCTCCAGAAATCATCTATTGTCTCTTCCTTGGGACCTGCCAAAAATATTACTTTGATCACGTGAACCATTTCAAGGTGATAATTAGGGATGGGCTAATTTGTCAATTGAAATGTCACAGAGTTTTCCTTTCTCCAGCCCTATGGATTGCATCCCATAGCTTCTTTGGTTTGTAATTGTTTTTCTCTCAGCATGAATATTTGCAAAAGCATTCTTTTTCAGTGGTTAGCAGAATATTACTTCCTTCAAACTGAACTAGCACGAGAGAAACACACATGAAAATATTCATATTCTCATGCATTTTTGTATATTTTAATAATAATCATTTATTAAATCTGTATGCCACCTGACTCTGGATGCATTAACTGTATACATTTTAGCTGAATGAAGAATGATATTTGGCAGAATCTGCTGCAAAGTTCTTTCAGGAGCTGTTTTAAGTAGATTGTACTGAAATGTTTGGATAGCTTTTTATGTGCCTTCTAGATATAGGGCACCAAAATCTAGGCAATTAAGTATTTCCTGATTGTGTACTACATTCTGGAAGTTGGCTAAATAAAATTTGTTGACTCTCAGACTCTGAACTAATTTTGTATCAATTAACAGACAAGATTGGAGAGTAGGTTTGGTATTTTTATTGTTTTTCCCTTTCCTTTTTGCTTTATTTGTAACTTTTTAGTTCTTTATTCTTCTCTATTTGTTTTATATTGTTTTCACTCAATTCCATTTATTTTATTCAAGCATAATGTCTAATTAAAGAACAGAAATTAGGAAGATAAAATGGCATTTGTTATCAAGGGTTACCTAGAGACCAACATCTCAGTAAAACCTAATGTAAATATTAGCAGTTTTTGTATAACAAAAATTATATGCAACAAAAGATTATTTTTTTAAAAAAAGTTTCTATGTTTTTCTTAAATTGCTTAGGTTTTCCCATTTATATATTATTTTTACATACTCCACACATAATCAGAGAAAATAGAGAAAATAGAGACAGTAATGATTGTATTAATTCATTTCTATGTGCTATTCAAAGTCAGAAAGATAATACAAACCTTGTGCAGCAATGTATTTTTTCATTTCTTTAAAACCCTATGATAGAAAGTCATATATTATTATCCTGCAAGTACGGGTTCTGAAAAAAAAGATATCTGTAAAGTCTAAGAGTTAGAAGATGCTGAATAATGTCTGAGTATGAGTTTGCACATTTTAGATGAAAGTCACTCACATCGATATAGCTTGCATTTATGTAGTCGTATCCCTGTTCCCCGGGGCTTGTGTTAAGCTCCACACGATTGTAATCATCTTTTCATATGGAAACAAAAAAAAAAAAATCAAGATCAAGAATGTCAATCAATCAATACTGTTAGTTTGGTATAATTTTTTGAAAGCAGGCGGGGGAACAAGAAGTTGAAAAGTTCATGTTTGCATGATGTGCTTACAAGGGAGGATATCGATGTAACGGTTCTTGTTCTGGTTATAAGGCTTGCGTGCTTCTTTTATGGGATATTTACTGAAGACTCTGGGAATGCTCTGCAAAAGACAATATCCATCTGAGCCAAAAACTTTAGGTTAAAAAAACATTATAAACTCAAACAAAGAAGATGAATCCTTGGTTGTTTGTTTTTTGCTTTTTGCTCGCTATTCTGAATCCAGTTTTCTATTTCCATTTGTTTAGCATAAGATCCAAATCAATCAGCAGGATATAGTTCTAAATAAACCTATATAGAAATAACAATAATTCAGGCCTATTAAATAAGTAATTTAATCTGAATGGTGACATAAAGATGCTTATCTTCATTTTCCAAATACATACTTCAGATTATTATGAAGAGACTGTTATAGCCCTATTCAGACATATCTAATCTCCCTGATATTGAAAGGGGGGCTTTTTAAAAAGACCCTGAAATCTCTTGCTTTAGGGTGGGGTCAGGGCGACTGATTGGAACTGAGTATTTATTGGCTGGACACCCTTCCTGATGCCTATGGAGAGTTTGCAGCAGACAATTACTAATTACGCCCAGAGAGAGAAATATCTGCTAAATATCTCCTGTTTGTTAGGCAAGAGATCTAGCTTTAGTTCACCACACTGCTCCCTGATATTGAAAGGAAGTAAAAGAATTAAAAGGTGTGAGACTCTTAGGGTGGGAACTATCTACTAAAAAAAGCTAACCACCAAGACCATACATAAACCTTCCTTAGATTTTCGATTGGGATACTAACCTGAAATTCATCCAGAAAAAGCCTTCCTTCATCTGCTATTTTTCTCTTGTAAGCTTCCCACAATAACTCGGCAGGGATTGGGTCTATATTCTTCATGTGTCTTTCATCATCTTTAAAAGAGGTAGAAACACTTCCAGATAAGCCTATGCTCATAGCTTCTAATATGTGTAATGAAACTGTAATTCAATACATGCTTGAGCACATGTGTCAAAATTATTGAATGGGTTTGCTGCCTGAACTCAATGAGTTAAGCTTTAAAACTTACTACTAAACTATTCAATCCAAGGGCATTTAATTCACTTATGGCATATGCATTTAAGCAAATAAAGAGAAGCAAATAAAACAGTGCCTAAAATTAATATGGTCATACAACTGTAATTTATAGCAACAGTTTTTCCATCTTTCGTTTTGGAGCCTTACATTTGCCAAGTTTGAGAACATTGAGGTGAAGGAAACATACATTTTTCTTGTACTTATTCCTTTTTTTTTTTCAGGAAAAAAATGTTATACATGGGTATTACTTTTAGATACTGTTTTTAACATTCTTCAATGGTGCTAATTGCACTTTTAAAAAATCCATATATAGCCACAAAGGCTTTGAAATTTGTTTTGATCGAGGATCAGGAAAGAATTTGTCTTTTCCCACATATTGTATAATTTTTGTGATGCTAATCAGGCCACATTCTATTTACAATCCAGCCTGAATTAGAGCAAGATGACTTTTATGTCATTAAATTTGGTCCTCATTTACAAAGGAAAAACAAAAGTCTTTTAAAGTAGCTAGTTTAGCCCATGTGTTCTTTGTATTAGAAACTCTCGAAAAGGCTCTGAAGAAATGTGAAATTATTCTGAATGAAGTTTAGATTCACCGCTTAAAATGACATCATAACAAAGCTAAAACTTCATTTCTGAGCAAAAGAGAGAGAATAAACTAAATAAAATAAAGAGTGGCCCCCGCTTTTCACGGTTATTTTCACAGTAATAATGAGGGCATGCTAATTCCATTGATATATAGGCCATGTATCCACTGATGTAAGAAGGGATGATGAAAGAGACAACATTGTGCTCAGAATTTCTCTTTGTTGCACCTTAGTTCAGAAGCAGGACAGGAAAACTCATTGGGCTAGAGAATTCCATGTAGCAATGGGGTTTATGAACCTCTGGAAAAAAACCTTTCATAGTACCATTTCAAGAATCCTGTACTTTCTAGAATTTTTAAATATTTACCTCTTGTTACAAGCCTTACTCCTTCTTCTTCATCACTGCAAAAATACATCAAGAGATAGAATTGAATGGTGAGAACAAAATATTATTTTTAATAGATATTAATGAGTATGCACATGATGTAGTTTGAATGTGAGCATAGTAAGCCTTTTTTTTTTCTAATTCTGCTACTCCAGCTTTGAAAAAGAGCAGGTTCCCCTTCTGCTCACAAAGACCCAGCACAGCAGAGTGTGCTCCTCTGTTGCATATTAACAACTATTTCAAATGCCACATTTTTTAAAAGATAAACATGAGGACAGCCTCACTCTTGATGTACAACTGAGCATATTCCTGATCTACATTACAGTGTCATTAATTGATTCCCCTGGAGACTACTTGAAACTGGTTTCACTCTATTTGCAGATCGTAAGACAGGCATGGCTTCAATGCATGGCTCAGATCCTTTTACCAGGGTCTGAACCAGAAAAACCTTCATATGATGATTGTGTTAAGGCAGGTCACCTAATTCAAGAACTATCTGGACACTTGGTATCAAGAATTAGTAGGAAGGTCTATGTATTGCACGTACATAATAAATGCACAAAAATGGATAGTTACTGGGGAAAAGTTAGGGGAGGGGAAGACAGAAAAAGAAAAGATTATCTTTCAGACTTGCTGGCTGGAACTGAACCAGCATCTTTCTAAATGTTCAATCTAAGTACAGGTTCATTATGGTCATATATATATATATATATATAAATTATCAAGTTCCAAGGAGAATAAAAACCAAAAGAAAAGGTAAATAAATGAAAGAAGTACACAAAAGATACTTAAGATACTAAAAAGCGATTGCAAGTAATGTTAAAGAGAAATAAATTCTAAAAAGGAAACATTACTATTAAGAGCTAAATGAAGAAGGCCAAAATATTAATACAGGTAGTTCTCAATTGAAATGTTTGTTCAGTGACTGTTTGAAGTTCCAACAGTGCTGAACAAAAAAAAGAATTGTGACTGGTCCTCACCACTGTTGTACCATCCTCATGCTCAGGTGATCAAAAATCAAGAACTTGGCACTTCGGGTCATGTGATCACAATTGGAGATCTTCCTAGTTGACTTCCAATAAACAAAGTCAATGGGGAAAGTTGGATGCATCTAATGATTGCGTGATTTATTTAATAGCTGCAGTGATTCACTTCTGCAATGATTCAGTTAACAACCGTAGCAAAAATATCATAACATTGGGTGCAACTCGTTTAATAACCACCATGTTTTGCAACATAAATTCTGATCCCCAGTGGTGGGATTCAAATTTTTTACTACTGATTCTGTGGGCGTGGCTTGGTGGACATGGCAGGGGGAGGATACTGTAAAATCTCCAGTCAGAGGTGGTATTTGCAGGGTTCTCCAAATTACTCAAAATTACCACTACCGGTTCTCCAGAACTGGTCAGAACCTGCTGAATACCACCTCTGCTGGTCCCAATTGCAATCATAAGTTGAGGACTATCTGAATAAAACCATTCCCCTCAGAAAATCAGAATTGCAATGAACTTTCATAAAATCAAAATAAATCAATCAACTGAGGGGAGGGACATATATAAGTACCGTGGTTAAAATCTGGAAGGCATTACTCTCTATTTTGAATACAGCTAACTGTAATTGTGATAATAATAAAGAATTCTGTCTATAATTTTGTGTAAAATTTTCTATGATTTTTTGCAACACAATGACAATGATAATTGTACAGCTCATTTGCAACAGAGAAGCTGCCCAAGTGTTCTCTTCCAGGCATATGTAATGGGACAGATCAGGGTGCAGTTTTCCTATGATTGTCATACACACTTAGGCGAGGAAAGGAATGCATTTCACAAAGTTACCTTGAGTTCTTTCTGTTAAGGATGTATATTTTATACAAGACAAGAAGTAAAGCCAAAACGGTTACAATAATCAGGAATGCCAAGAATCCAATGACAGCTTTAATATCATCTGTAGAATGAGATGAAATGGAACAATGAGTTTTGGAAATGTCAACATTTTGTTAGCATCCTGTGTTTTCAGTATGCAAATTAAACTAATCAGTAAATTAAAAGGAATTTTTAAAATGTTAACATACACTTGGTGGTTATTTTTTCCGATATTGGCTCTGTAGAATAATATCCATTGGAAACAAGTACCTGGTAAGAAGAAGACACAATAAATGCAGAGACCTGAAATGGAGCAAAAACAAACTCTTGCACAAACTTTTATGAAAGCTATACCATATGAAACCTTCATTAAGAATATAAATGTCTTAAGGAGCTATAAGAATCAGCTCAAAAATACAAAATAGAAATAAGAAAATAAATTTTTCACCTTGCCCTCATTTATGAAGAAGATGAAAGCTTTGATACTATATTAAAAAAAGAATTGCAAAGGAGACTGCCCAAGTGTTCAATGCCAGATACATGTTAATTTTAAGGAAATGGCTTGGATGTTAATTAATTAATTAATTCAATTAGAAATTTGACTGTACTTGATTTAGTCCTGTTTAAAAAATGGTTGCAGGGTACCCCTGGCCAGATAAGGATGTAATTACTACATCTGACCAAAGGGATAAAAGATACACTTGGTCTTTGAAACTACTTGTCAATTGACAACTACTAATGACAATGATAGATCCGAGTACTGCTAAGTGTTGCTCTTATAATTTTGGAGTAATCCATCCCAGAACAGTGTGTCCTGAATTTAATCACCAGATTAACCAAGCACAAACAGCAATTTTGGTTTGTGGACATGGCATCCTTTACCCAATCCAGTAGCTTGCTGAAGGACTGATTCAGGCCATCAATTTAATTCATTCTTTTCTCAAAATTTTGACTTCACTGATTGATGAATAAGCAGATAGATATAATGTACTGGGGTGGGGGGGGAGTGAAATATCTCAGTCTCGAGTTTAGAGCAATGCAACTTACTTGAAAAGTGTATGTTTTCAAAAAAGAAAGGTTGTCCACTTTGAATTTGCAATTGTTGAAGCTCTTTTTATCACCGCTATCCCATTTTAATGTATAGACTGACTGAGGTCCATTTAATTTCTCTGGTCCCACACAAGAAACTTCTACAATATTGTTTCCATCTTTGGATATGCTTAACTCAAGTTTTTTCAAAGGACTTGGTTCTGTTGAAAATTAAAATGGTTTTCATTAAAAGAAAATAAGCAGCACTAAAAGCGCAGGAATCAGAATGCTTCAGCAATTTCAGGTAGTTCTTTTTTTTAATGATTGCAATCAGCTGTTAAGCCAAATGATCAATATGTGAAGACGTGACTAAGAATGAGACAGTGATGGACACTGTGAAATTCACTGGTTGCTGCTGTTTCACTCAAATAAAATTCCTTTATACAGTGTCCTGTGTTTAACCCATTTCCCCCCTTTTTTGTTCCCTTCCAGGGCCAAGAGATTGCTTAAACAAGCAACAGATAATTCTAAATTTACAACAGTTTGTTTAGTAACCATTCAAAACTACAACGGCTCTGAAAAATGTGACTTATGATCATTTTTCACAGTTACGACCTTTGCACCATCCCCTTGATGATGGGATCAAATTCAGATGCTTGGCAACTGGTTCATATTTATGACTCTTGCAGTGTCCCAGGGTCACACGGTCACCTTTTGCAACCTTCTGACCAGCAAAGTCAATGGGGAAGCCAGCAGAGGTGGTATTCAGCAGGTTCGGACCAGTTCTGGAGAACCGGTAGTGGAAATTTTGAGTAGTTTGGAGAACTGGCAAATATTGCTTCTGACTGGAGATTTTACATTATCCTTTCCCTGCCATTCCCACAGAACCGGTAATAAAAAAAATTGAATCCTACTACTGGAAGCCAGGTTCACTTAACAACTGGGTTACTAACTTATCAACTTCAGTGATTCACTTAGCAACTGTGTCAAGAAAATGGGGCAAAACTCCCTTAACAAATGTCTCACTTAGCAACAGAAATTTTGGGCTCAGTCGTGGTGGTAATTTGAGGACTGCCTGTACGTCTTTCTGAGTTGTTTTTCTCTGCAGCAGTTCCATAAAAAGTACTAACCACAATGACAAGGTCAGCTCTGTGACCTTAATTAGTTGATCAGAACTCTGGGTCACTGGCTGCTGCTGTCTGAAACTGACAAGACCATAATCAGTTTTGCACTGGATATTTTTGTTGTCCTAAATGTGTGCATTGGTTGGGAAGTGATTACTTTTACTAGTATTTATTACTGTCACTTTTACAAATGGTCATTAACTAAGGCAGTTGCTAAACAAGGACTATCTGTACATAAAATATATTGTCCCAGTTCTACAATATAGATGCTATATTGTAGATGCTAGATATTTTCACTATTTCACTAGCATTCATCTTCAAGAAAATAAACCTATATTTTCAATAATTTCTTCTCCTCTTCACCCCACAAAAACACATGTTTTTTTTTTCTAGCCATGAGGGTTATATACTCAGATATTGATATTCTTTGTGACACAGAATTCTTTCCTCCCTTTTAAAATTTATTTCCACAAACAATGATGATGAATGCAATCCATAAAATGCTCCAAAACTTCATTAGCAGTATATTAATTATAAGCTTTACATTGGTTGATACTTTAGAACAGGGCTTCAAACTTCCGGCTCGTGGGCCAGATGTGTCATGAGCGAGCCATGCCCATGCCTGGTTTAGTGAAGCGGAAAAAAGTCCCGATACATCACATGATGCCACCATGACGACATGAGTTTGACAACCCAGCTTTAGGAGGAACATTTTTACAGGATTTAGGAAAATCAGCAAAATAATTTTTCAAAATAAAATCCTGGTTTTCCCTGATTCTCAATTTGATCCTCATTTTGCGTTGTGCAGATGGGGTGTGTTACAAAAGTCAAAATGGCAGCTAAAGTGGTACAATTGAAGTTCCACCTCATGGTTTTTTTTTTCCTGTGTGGCACATGTTATTATCATTTGGTTTTAGGGAACATTTGGAGGCAAAAGGTAATTCCAACATCTTTAAGTGTCTAGATTGTTTTTAGACTTCATCTGCTACCTTGGGCAGAAAGGTGAGAAACAAATCAAATCGATTTGTGGGACATTAAGTGAAATTATAAAATGTAGCTAATATTTTACTTTATTTTTTACAGTTCTGAACTGCCCTAAAAGGTGAAGATTGATCTCTCTCTCTCTCTCTCTCTCTCTCTCTCTCTCTCTCTCAGTGCTATTGCTATCACTACTGTTATATAGTTGCTCAACTCACACATAGTGACTCTGGATGGCATACAACATTAAAAATCCACAGTTAAACATTCACAGTTTAAACCCCCACCTCCATCCCTTGGTGGCAACAACAGAATCAGACAAACCACTTAATTGGTTCCAAATAGCATCTCTAAGCTTTGGGAACAAATCGTGTGCTCAAGGCCTTGATTATACTTTGAAATTGCATTTCTACACTTGGTTAGCAACAAAAATTATATTATCGTGGTTGGTTGCAGTCAGACAGCTGTTTAGGCTGGATTAGATTTTTTTTTTTTAATGTACCTATTGAGTCCTTCCCAAGGATCTGGGTTAAACAGGTGTTGTTGATAATATCAAAGATATCATTACAGGATGTAAGTTGTTTCAAGTAAACTTGCCTTTTGCAATTGACTGATCATGATTTTGTCAATGCCAGTGGTATGGCCATGTCATGCAGGGAAATTTACTGGAGCAAGCAATATGTTGGAAAGAGTTAGTGGTGAAAGGAAAACAGGCTGTGAAAGAACATGGTGACTGGACACCATCCAAAGCTGATAGCAGTCAAATTATAGAAAGACTCAAAGAAGTAGTGCAAGACTGGAAGATATGGAGAGATCTGGCCTGTAGAATCACTGAGAGTCAGACACAACCAGAGGTGGTATTCAACCGGTTCACACTGGTTCGGGTAAACTGGTAACTGGTGATGTGGCATGGGACACTGAACCAGTGGCGACCCCTGGCTGGCTACTCTGCCGATCCGGTTGCCCAGTTGCCCACTTGCCCCAGTCGCCCTCCTAGTTTTCCCTACCATGTGGTAGCTCTGGCACAGCTCTGGCGGATGTCCCAGGGCTGCTGCACATGTGCACTGCATGTGCAGCCACTATACATGCAGTGTGCATGTGCAGCAACCCCGGGATATCCGCCCACCTCCCACCCTCCTGGAGCATGTTTTCTTCCTTCTCCCGGCAGATGAGCCTCTTCCAGCCCAGCCCGGCCCAGCCTGCAGGGTGGGTGGATGTCCCGGGGCTTCTCACCCCCCTTGTTGTAAGATGCCTGCAGCTGCGGAGTGCTTTTTTTGGTGCAACTGCAGTCTAGCAGCCATACCGAAAAATGCCCTGTTCTATGTGCTGGGCCCAACAAGTCTGAGTAACCAGTGCATAGAACAGGGTGCCACCAGACCATTGGAGAAGTAGAGTGAAGCCAGAGATCAGTAGCTGCCTCTTTCGCAGTGCAAGAAGCCTCCCTGAATTGGCTGGCTGGTCTCCTCCTTCTCCGCCTATTTGTTCGGTATGGCCAAGAAGGAGGAGGAGACCAGCTGGCCAATTTGGGGAGGATTTCTGCCCAAAAGAGATGGCTGGAAACTGAAAAAGAGTCACCTCCAGCAGCTGCCCCTTTGGCTGGCTGATCTCCTCCCCCTTGGCCATACAAAACAAAAGATGGAGAAAGAGAAGACCAGCCGGCCAATTTGGGTAGCATTTCTGTGCTGCAAAAGAGGCAGCTACTGATCTCCAGCTTTGCTCCACTTCTCCAATGGTCCACTGCAGCCCTGTTCTATGTGCCGGCTGCTCGGACTTGCAGGGCCTGGCATATAGAATAGGGCATGCTTCTTTCGGTGCAGCTGTTGGGCTGCAGCTGCACCAAAAAACATGCAGCAGCTGCAGTCATCTTGCAACAAGGAGGGAGAGAAGCCCCAGGACATTGGTCACTTGGTGGCTGGCTGGGCCAGGCTGGAAGAGGAGTGTTTGCCAGGAGAAAGAAGAAAGTGTGCTCTGGGAGGGTGGGCACCGGGCAGGTGGGTGGATGTCCCGGGACCACTTAAAAGTTGACTTTAAGAGCATCCCCATGCAAGAAGCTGAGAACTGAGAGCAAAAGTAGTGGCAGCAGGGGTGACGGGCATGTGTGTCCCTCCACAAGAAGTGTAAAGGGAGGCAGACACTGTGCCTCTGAGAAAAAGAGGGGGTGTCAAAGTCCTGGCTGTCACCCGGGAGGGGACCTTGGAGGGATCCATCCCATGTCCCTGTCACCCCCGCCCCCACTACTTTTGCTCTCGTTCTCAGCTTCTTCCACGGGGGTGCTCTTAAAGTCAATCTTTAAGAGCTGGAAGATGTTTCGTTAGATCACTGCCAACTCATCATTGGGAGAGGTGTAGCCCCTGAGAAGTCTTCCTTCACGCTCCTTGTGCACACCGGGAGCGCCTAACCGGAGCAAGAGAGAGTGAAGTTGACTGCTAAGAGGCGAGAACCTTGGCTTCCCCTCTTGCTCCTCAGAGTCACCTTGAGCTGGTGTGGTTCTTTACTTGGGCAGCCAGGCAGCCGCAGCAGCACCAGGCAGTGCCACAACAATGAGGTACAGTAAGATTTGGCACTGCAAATTTATCTCTGAGGGGCTTCTGGTTCTGGCAAAAAAAAAACCCCACTCCAAGACAAAACCCATTCGGCAGGCAGACTTGGCAGGCAGTCATGATCTTTAGTTGGACTTTTTTGGGTCAGCCCAAGGGCTGAGGAGGAGGGGAGGAAGGTATGTGGGAAATCACCCTGTCTCTGCAGCATCGATCATGTGACTGAGTGGGCGTGGCCAACTCGATGTCACTGGCAGCAAGGTGCCGCACCACCTTGCCCAGTTGGCCACATGACCACCAAGCCACGCCCACTAAACAAGCCACACCCACAGAACCGGTAGTAAAAAATTTTTGAATCCCACTACTGGACACAACTGAATGGATATCATCATCATCATCATCATTTTGTTTTTAACTCTTGGGTCATTTGCAACAGGTAAACCCCTTTGGAGGTGCAATGGGTCAGTTAAAGGTGCTGAGTTTGTCAGGTGGAAAGGAACATCCCAGTTTTAGAACTGAATGCTGCTCAATGGGATGAGTTCCCATTACTTGTACCAGCTTCTCCTCATCTAGCAGTTCGAAAGCATGCAAATGTAAATAGATAAATAGGTACCACTTTGGCAGGAAGGATTCATGCACCTTGGCATATAGTGATGCTGGCCATGTGACCACAGAAATGTTTTTGGACAAGAATGGCTTCCTTGACTAAGAAACAGAATGAACACTGTCCCTAGAATCAGACACAATTTGAGAGGGGAAACCGTCACCTTTAAACACTTTCTCTTTGCAGTCCTGCAGCTGCTGGCCCTGGTTGTTCAGCCAGCAGTCCTGAGTTCTGTGCCCCACTTGTGCACTTGTGAAGTACACATGATGGCACTTTTATGTATAACCACCAGAGTCACTGGGGGTCAAATAGCATATCAATGTAATAAATAATAACAATAATATTTATTGTGATAATAACCTTACCCCATAATTATATATTCACAACTAAATATTCACAACTTACGTGTTGGCAGAGTCGTAGTAGTACTAATACAGGGATCCCCCTCAAGTAGTAGATTATTTTTTTTCTCTGTGTATGCCCATACCATCACTTTATACTCTGTGTAAGGTTCTAAATCAGTCATTTTATGGTGCATGTTATTATTTTCTCTCATACTTCTTAGAATACCTGCAAATATTAAAAGCATAAATATATTCAAATATAAATAATGTTGATGCAGAGGCACAAATTCAGAAATAATTATTGGCATTTATTTTCATAGAAGGAAACCAATCTCCCATTAAGATTGCCAAAATATAGATAGATGGATGAACATCTATTTTTTTCCTGAATCCAGCAAGTTTCATTTGTCAAACAGATCTATTTTTTAAAGTTTAAGATTTTTATGTATTTTTATTTGTATTTTTTCAAACATATCCATTTCATTTGTAGTTTTGTGTATTAGACAGTTATTGCAATTTTCTTTAACAATGCATTTATGAACATTCTTTTTTATAAATAAATAGATTTTTCTCTAATATATCTTTTAAAATTAGAAAACTAAAATGGTGCAGTTTGAGTATTAACTAACTTCAAGTTCTATATTAATATGAATTAGATGTAGAAGTAAATATACATTCCAGTGCAAACTAAAATTTCTTACCTTATTCCAGAATAATATTTTGTTTTGATTAATTTACCCTGAATTGATTTTTACCTCAGAATATTTATTATAGTTTACAAGGTTTTTCCCTCCCCAGATAACAATATATTGTTCACTTCAAATGTGTGTAAACATTGAGGCAATTATTATTGGTGTTAATGCTGGAATTTGGAAGATTGAGAATCCCATTCCACTAAATTCTAGCTCTATCGTCTGACTGTCTATTTACTTGGGGAAATTAGTCTCCTAAAAAACATAATGGATCATGAGATTAGAACTCTAGGCTGATGTTTGGCAAATACCACCTCTGACTGGACATTTTACAGTATCCTTCCCCTGCCATGTCCACCAAGCCACGCCCACAGAACCAGTAGTAAAAAAAAATGGAGTCCCACCACTGCATCTATTGCCCCACCTTCCAAGAGAGAGGGTATAATTTGAGGTCCAGAAAGAGTGGCTGAGGAATAACCACTGTGCTCCACCAATATCTGCCATGTCTGTCTGCTAATTGAAACAGTGGGTTGATACTTTCAAGATACATGGGGTCTAAAGAAAGGAGAACTCCTTCCACTTGGAGGAATCAATACAAAATCAAACTATTTTCAGTGTTAGTAATAAAGATTAGAAAACTACTCTGAAAATATCCTTGAAATTAACAGAGATCAATAGAGGAAACCTATTACTAGGAAAAGACATGAACAAGGGCAGCTATTTACCATGGTTTATTTACCATGATTTATCCACAATTATCCATCCAGAAAATTTTGAAAATATGTTTTTCAAATCCTGAAAATGCATGAGTAGGTGCTTTCAGACAATTAGAAATACATACCAGTAGTACATAGCAATAGTAGTATTAGTATTATTATATATACGTACGATCAGTTTCAGCATTGAGTATTTTGATATTATAACCATGAATAGGGCCATTTCTCAGGTTTTGTGGTGCACTCCAAGCAACTGTTACACTTTCTTTAGTTGGATATAATGGACAGCTTTTAGGTGGGTCTGGTACTGATACAAAAATTAACAGAAAAACAAGTAATGATAAAATAACAATCTCTGGGACATGACAACAACAACAGAATACGAGCAATATAAACCATGACTACCAAGACTTTACAGAAGGGAAATAGAACCAATGTCAAGCAGTAGATTGTGTATTTCCAGAAAATGTCAGGAATTTCAGGTCTTAGAAAAGTTTATCAACTCCAAACAGAGTAAGGATACAAGACCAGCAAGTCCTACGTGATGTTAGTCACCCACACAGATCGACCACTTCAATTCCAATTCTGCTTTTATAACTTCTACTTGGCCCAAAGGTGATATTTATTCCTTAAGTTCAGGATAAGATGTATGGTGATAGCCTCTGTTGAGAGTTGGGTGGCTTGTAAGTACACTAAACTCCCCTTTCCACAAAATACTTCTCTTTAGAAATCACATATTGGTCTCTAGAATATCCTGTCAGCTGAGCCCATGAACAATGGATCATAAACTTTCGTCATTTTTAATTGGTCATATTTTTTTAGTGACTATAAGGACAGTTAATCATTCCCAATTACTTCTTATTGGATGAGATGAACAGTCAACCCTATGCTAAATGTGGCACAGGGATGTAAATATGTGCAATTATCCTGTGGCCTGTGTGCAGAGAGAGAAAGAGAATTTATAACAACAACAAAATCTTCAAGTTATTGAGGATTTTGGAAAATCAAAATACAAATGGCCTACATTCTCCAAGTAACGTACAATCTTCTTGTTAATTGAGGTTATGACTCCTTCGAATTCAGCTTGATCCCTTATGGTGCTATGGACATATCTATCTAATTTTCTCAGCAGCAATTAATAGCATTGAGTTCCAGGCTTTTCTCAATCTAATCTAAAGTCCCAAGATAACTAATGTTCTCAAGATCATATACTGTTTATACTGTTGCACCAAACAAAAAAATTTGAAGAAAGGAGTAAAAAATTAACAAGATCCTAAGCATTAACATCATCTTTTAGATGACCGTAGACTTTGGGCCAAGCTAAATGTTGAATGCATATTCACTCTTAATATGCATGATTTCTTTGGTCCTGAAAAGAAGTAAGTTACCTTCACAAGGAGGAATCAGAAACTAGTGCCATTCCTATCTTTAATGGCTATCTCATCTTGGGCTAACTCTCTTTAATCTCATTATCCTGTGATAATGAGATTAAAGAGCCATCCTATGCTTTAGTCAGAGGGCTTTAATTATGGAGTTTTCCATCTTAATTAAAAAACTGTGTTGGTTTGCCGTTGGCTAGGCAAAAGTAAAGTCATGCTTTTCCAGATATCTATGAAGTCTCTACAGTAGGGGTGTCAAACTCACGTCATCACAGCAGAATCACATGATGTATCTGGAATTTTTCCCCCTTCAGTAAACTGGGCATGGGCATGGCCAGTGCCTGATGCATCCGGTCCATGGGTTGGGAGTTTGACATCCCTGCTCTACAGCATCAGTCTACAGCATTCATTGTATGGAAACATTCACAGGATTCTAAGCATATCCTACCAGAGATGTGTAATCCTTGAGTCTGATTCCATAGTTCTGAAAAAATCTTTTTAGGAAAGGAATCAGTTCAGTTAGTTTCCATTAAAATTATTCAGAGGTTGGCTAGTAAGACTAAAATGCAAGCTGAGCAGAATGACCAGACTTGACAACTCTGCCTCCATTTTCCCTATGGACCTGGCTGTTTATAATGAATTTGGCTGATTTAGCATTATAATATGATATATTTTACCAATTATCAGTTACCAGGATCTCAATACATATCTCTTCCTGTTTAAACACATGTAGAAAGATTAAGTTTCTGGGCAAATTTAGTAAGCTGTAAGCAACAAAATATTTTAAAAAATCACGGTGTGATACTCACTTCCATAGTCTGTTGTTAACTCATGTGTTTGACGTACTGGTTTGTTAAGAAAACGTAATCCTTGAATACTTGAATTGCATGTATAATTTGTGTTGGGTAACACCTTAAACAGATACTGTGACTTTTTTCCTTCATCACAAATGGCACTAGACTCATTACCTGTAAGGAATGACAAAAGTGATTGCTGAAATCCAGGCATCTGGAAGATTCTACATCTTTAATAGTCTTGCCAACCCTGGATATAATTGTCCTCCCAATTTGTAAACTTCAACTCCTAGAATTCTCAAAACATATAAGCATCATTGAGAATTCTGTAAATTTAAATGCTCAGGAACATCCAGAGTTGAGAATTTTGACCTGCATGATGAGTTTTGATTTGATTTTTAAAGAAGGAAATAACGATTTCGTATTCCAAGGAGAGAAAAAAATTAGATCTACAATTGAATATAAATCACTCTAAAGGCAATCCACTGCTTTACTTAATAAATAATAGTACTACAATAGTACTACACTATAGTCCTCCTGTAGTGGCCATAATTGGGACCCAAAATTTGATTGTTAGATGAAGCAGTCACTAAATGAAACCATGGCTGTGCTTATAATCTTTCTTCAGCTTTCTTTTGCTTTACAAATGTTTGAAAGTCATAAATGTGAGGACTGGTCACAAAGCCACTTTTCATCACTGTATAAGTCAGTTGCTCAATGAGGACTTCTTACAAGAGCATACATGAAAACTCAGATTCTTTAAATATTTTTATAATATTGCCTTTATCTTTTATAAGGTGAAATGCTTATATACAAAGTACTCATTGATTTCCCCATTAATTTTAGATTAAATGCCAACTGATCGCTTTAAAAAAAAATCCTACCCTTTGGGAAACAACAATATGAATATTTCAATTCACACTTATCATCAGTGTCCCAAAATAAATTTATTGTAATATTAGTGACGGTTGCATTCAATTGCTTGTTATCTGAAAGAGAGGAAGAGAAAGAAAAATGAATTCATTTAAGTATTTTTCATGTTTTAAAAAAATGCTTGAAAATTACCTCCTACATACAATGGATGGGTTACAAAACTGTACACTGGAGGAAAAATGAATGAAGTTTTCAACAAACAATAGAGGAAAAAGAAAGGTAGAAGTGTAATTGCAAAGATGAGCAGCTCCTTATTAATCTTTTCAAATAATCTTTTCTCATATTTTGATCACAACGTTAGAAACTCTTTTCTCCCATGGGCTGATAGGCCTGGCCTATCTCTCCCCACAGGACTAAAGTATACATTGCCATTTCCAGTCAGAGTCATCTTAGTTTCTCCCATGTTTCTCAAACTGAAATCTTTACCTGCCTACCAACCACAGTTTCTAGGAAGCTGGGATACAAGTTGTGGGATGAGGCAGTCGTGGGATACGACAGGGTTAACTACTGGTTCAGGATTTACGAGCTTCCCTGCATGCTGTGAGCCGTGTGTCTGTAAATCATCATCAGCAGGCTGTGTGCAGAGACGCAGCCTTTGAAACAGCCCTATTTTCCTGCTTTTTAAATTGCAGCTGTGCCTCGTTTGGCAGCTGAAGTTGAAAAATCAGGAAATAAAGATCAGGTAAGAGCCTGGGTGGGCGTGTGGGCAAAAACATCAGCAGACATAGAACAGGTTCTATCTCTGCTGCTCTTCAGAGCTACCGGTTCTACAGAGGTGGACAGGACCAGTAGAAACCCACCCCTGGGATAAGGGAAGCAGGAATAGCAAGTGAAACCAGTTTCTGGTTTTTAGCTGTTAAGTGGGAATTACTGGATAAATTCCCTGAAAGTTGTTAAATCTTTAGCTTTACATTTGAAAAGCAAAATCCCCCAGCCATTCCTATTTTAAATTTATTGCACAATAAATTCTTTAAATTCTTTAAAGCAGATTCAAATTTCTTAAGAACCAGTTCTGTGGGTGTGGCCTAATTTGTGGGTGTGGCTTGGTGATCATGTGACTGGGTGGGTGTGGCTTGCTGACTGAGCATGGTTTTGTGGTCATGTGACTGGATGGGTGTGGCTAGGTGGTCATATGACTGGCTGGGCATGGATTGTTGGTCATGTGATGGAGTAGGCATGGCTAGGTGGCCATGTGACTAGCAAACCAAATATAAGTGGTCCTTGCTTAATGGCCAGTTGCTTAGCAAGTGTTCTAATTTTTGACTAGAGCTACTTGACCTGTTTTTGGTGTTTTTACAGCCATGCATGCATGTGCGCGTACACACACTTATGATCAATTAAAACATCCCACAGGAGTTTAGTCTGGTTTCCAGTTAAAAATGCCCATTGGGGAAAATGGACTTGTTTAACAACCACAGTGTTTGCTTAATGACCACATGGTTCACTTAATGACCATGATGTTTGCCTAACCTGGGGTCTATAACCTTAAACACTCAGAGCCATTTTTCTATTTTCTTTTAAACAGGTATCTCTCTCTCTATCTCTCCCTCTTTCTTTCTCCCTCTTTCTCATCTCTGTCTCTTGTCTCTCTCTTTCCCTCCCTCCCTGTCTCTCTCTCTGTCTTCTCTGTTTGTGTCTTCTCTCTCTCTTTCCCTCCCTCTCTCTCTGTGTGTCTTGTCTCTCCCTTCCCGCCTCTTTCTGTCTCTTGTCTCTCTCTTTCCTTTCCTCCCTCCTTCTGTCTCTCTCTCTGTCCATCCCTGGGGTTTGGGGAATATAAGTCACTTTTTTTCAGTGCTGTTGTAACTTTAAATGGAGGCTAAACAAATACTTGTAAGTCAAAGATGATCTGTATCTGCAGCTTTAACTTTCCAATTAGCATCTAACTAAACTTCAGCTGCATCTCTGCACCAGGCACATAGGATAATTTCCTTATTCCCAAAATGCAGGAAAATAACCCAGGCTCACAAGGAATTGTACTTGTGATATTTTTCAAGCATAGCAACTTTAAGACATGTGGACTTCAATTCCCAGAATTCCCCAGGCAGCATGAGACCTGATCATTTGATTATTCCCAAGTCAGTAACATTATTAATTACCAACTTTAATGATACTAAGTATTGTATCTCTGTATGAATTGATTTAGTAAGATTCCATACTTACCACACTCCTGTCTCTGCTTGGACAGAACCATCAAGGCACTTCTACTAAATTGCCCCTTGTACCAAGCCTCTGATTTAATATTGCCTCCACCTCCTTACTAAATGCATGGATTGACCTCAAATGGATGTTACCTATTTTCTACTGGTGGATTAATCTATAAAATGTAATATAAACTGCCCCTTCATCACAAGGACACAGCTTTAAAGATATTAAAGTCCCCCCCACCCCCACCCCCCAAGGGATACTTGCTCCAGGCTACTTTAAAAGGCTTTAAATCCCAGTTCAATGCTTCCTGGAATTTTTCCTTGTAGCACTGAGCGCCTTAGCTTTTATTTTGAAATCCAGCACTCTTGGGCTTCAGTGCTGAAGCAAGCAGCTACTCGGTGCTCCAAGAGATGCCTGGAAGCCAATGAACTAGTAAATTAAATAATACTTTTAGACTACTTTCTCTCCCAGCAATCTGGGCTGAAGCAGAATTAAACAATATCTGCTCCTTTGTTTTCTGAATGGATTTTATAGGAAGGAGGCTTAATTTCACATGCACAGACACCAGCCACTTCCCACTCAATCTACCTCATTTAGGAAGCTCGGAGGACGTCGTCAACAACAGCAAAACTCAATATCTTCCAAATGGGATGGCGTGGGGGGGAGGAGAGAAAGGGATTCTTGTTCCAGGCTTAAAACCCAGCAGCTCCAGCAACATATCTTCAACCTCATCAGAGGCAAGTGGCCGGGAGGGGAAGAGATGCGGCCAGCCAGGGGCATGATTTGCCGGTTCTTCGAACTGAGCAGAATCATATAACATCCGGTTCTATAGAACCGGATGGAACCAGTAGAATCCCACCCCTGCTTTAAATGGGGAGTGATACTTGGTAACACATGCAATCTTGAGATCATGACAAACAAAAAAGGGGTGTTTCCTATTCAGAAAATAGCTTTTGGGTGAAGCTACCAGCTCCACCTAGCTGGCAAACTCAAAGAGCCACTAGGATTTCAGGAAGGCATCTTTAGTGCAAGTAAGAATGAAAACATAATTTCAAAAATTCTAATAGTCAAAGTAAAGATAAGTTCAGGTTCTTGTTTAATGACGGTAATTGGGATCAACTCCATCCTTAAGTGATACAGTTGTAAAGCATGATGCCACATGATCATACTGACTTACAATGGCAATGTTGACATTTACAATTGCCATCAGTCCATGAATCCCACATAAATGTTAAGCAACTTGTCTGCCTGGTTCCCACAGCATTAAAACAGGTCTATTTAGTCCATCTCATTTAGCTAAATTTGATCAATTTGTACTATGTATTGCCAAGAAGCACATTAGGATTTACCTACACCCCCACTCAAAAATGGTGTTTAATGCAAGTTTTAACAGAGTATGGAAAACAACACTTAAGAACTATAATGCGGATTTTGTTTTAATGAATTATAATTACCAGAAATAGGAACATTAATGGAAAACTTTTTCTCGCAATCTTTGCTGAACTTTGCTGTTATGTTATAGGTTTGGCATTCTGTCAGATGAGATAAAGTATTGGTCTCTTTTTCCCAGTCACAAGAAATGCAGGTAACATTCAGCAAATCTAATGATCCATCAAACTTAAGATTTGCAGCATGACGATCCTTTGTAAAGTCCTTAGAAAGCTGAATATTGGCTATAACACAAACAAACAAATCAAAGTTGGATGTAATCATTCTGAAACTTTAAAATAAAAGAATTAAACCCACAGGCCACAAATGAAATAATAAAATATGTAAATCATAAGGATATAGTTTTATTTCTGTATTAATTAAACTACTCAGTACCCAGAGGATTCGACGTCTGCTCTATAGCAATGATTCTACTCATAAAAAAACAAAGCCTCCAGAATCAGTGTAATCTGGTTAGATTTATAAGGCCACCTCAAATCATTCTTCAAGATCCTTGATGTATTTACTCAATCTGGATTAGGTTTTCCTATACCGCTTAAAATAGTGATTAAAAATAAATTATGGAAATTTGGCCCAATTAGTTCTTATAGATAGATTTAATTCTTTGGGAGAAAAAAAACATAGCCATTCCCCCCACCCCACCCCTTGCAGCCTATCAGTTCAAGCATTAACAATGATGGGACAAAGCTATCTCTGAGACCATACAACATATCCTTGACTTCAACAGAGGCTAACAGACCAAATTATGCTTCCAAATGACCTTTTCTGGATATTTTCATTCTCAAACAAAAAGGCACTTACCTTACATAGTTTTAATACTCTATCCTGGTAGAGGATAGAGCGGTAGTTCAGCAACATTTTCACTCTAGAACAGTGTTTCTTAACTTTGGCTATTTTTAAGATGTCTGGACTTCAACTCAGAACCCAGAATTCCCCAGTATGTTTAGCTGAGAATTAATTCTGGCCATTGTAATCCAGAGAGTTTAAACTTGTCAAGGTTCAGAAACACTGCCCTAGTTCGAAGTTGATGCTATTAGAGTGACATTGTCACAGGTGGCCTATCCAGAGATCACCTTTATTTAAGCAGACATTCCTGGGGAAAATCTTCAGTAACTTGGGAGCCACAAGCAGAAAGAAGTACCTAGTACCAGAGCTTCTTCTGAAAGAATCTATTCTGCTGATCTGAGCAACCATCTACTTCATAGCAGGCAATGAGGTCCTTCAATTATTCAGTCCCTCAGGCATTTATGGCTCTAGAGTCAACATCAAGGATGGGATTCTACCGGTTTGGACCGGTTTGGGTGAACCGGTAGTTGCAGTGGGCATTTGGCCCTGCCCACCCACGCCTGCTCTTTCCTGTGTTTTATTTCATTGTTTTAGAGCACAGCTGATTCGCATGGCAGAGCAGTTTTCCGCACCACAGCTGTTTTATTCACAGGGGCTGCAGTAGAAGGTAAGTATTAGAGCTGAAAATGGGCTTTTAAAAAACCATGTTTGGCGCATGCGTGCTCATCAAACTGGTGGTTACACCAGCTGAATCGCACCACTGGTCAACACCAAAATTTTAAATTGTCTCCCCAAAGTACTTTTCAAAATACAACTGGGTTTTCTTTGCTGTTTTTTCTTGGAAAACCCCAAAAACAAAGTCCAGTAGCCTTTTGAAAAGAACCTATAGGACAACTATGATCTGGATGATTGAGAATCTCTGTAGATACTTTAAATCAGGGGTCTCAAATGCAATTTACCTGGGGGCTGCTGGAGGCAGAGTCTGGGTGAGGCTGAGCTGCACATAGAAGTATTTAGCCAGCTAGCAACGCATGGAGAACGCACTAATATTATACTTTCATATCATGGTGGGGGCCACAGGATATCGTCCTGCGGGCCGTAATTGGCCCATGGGCTGCAAGAATGAGACCTCTGCTTTAAATTGTGCTTCGTGGCTGACTAGCAGCTTGCACAGATCTTTCTGGAGATGCACCATGCGATCCCTGCTCTTTGCACTCATCAGGAGGTTGGCTAAACATTTTTGAAACAGTGTGCACTTCTTGTACCAGTTTGCACTATTTGTAGCACACTATAATTTGTCCATCTGGCTATCTCCTTTATCATCAAGCCCATTCTTGAGAAGGCAATACTGGACACTACCAACTGCAGTGGTTTTCTTGGAGTTTGATAGAAAGGAGGAGAAGAGCTACGAGTCCTCAGAAGACTGATGTCTTCCTGTATATATATAGCTGGAAAGCTACCTATTTAACCAGGGCTCTCCAAACCTGGCAACTGTAAGACTTGTGGACTTCAACTCCTAGAATTCTGGGAGTTGAAGTCACAAGTCTTAACATTGCCAAGTTTGTATTAAGCAGCCTATAAGTAGTCCTCCACTTACAACCACAATTAGGTCCAACATTTACATTGCTAAGTGAGACATTTGGAAGTGAATTTTGCCCCATTTTACGACTTTTCTTCCCACAGTCATGAAGTAAATCATTGCGGTTGTTAAGTTAGTAACTCAGTTGTTTAGCAAAAGCTCTTCTATTTTTCGTTAAAGGTACAATAATTTATATGGCATGTGTATGTGTATATTTTGATGGTACAAGAATATACAAAAGAACTGTGGAGGCAGCCTTTCAAACTGATGGAGCTTCTTATTCAAATGGTTATTATATTCCATCTTCTGGTGGGGGGAAGAATTAAAAACTTACCACAAAGGTTTTGTGTATCTGCAAAGAAAATAAAAATAAAAATAAGAGAAAGTCATTTGTAGCAAATGCCTCTAAGAGGGGGAAAAAAGCATTTGATTTAATATTAATATTTTTGGATTTACATATTTATGTATATTTCATTGTGTTCTGGTTGAGAGTATGAAGATTACATAATATGTTGCATTGCTTAATAGAATCCTTTTATAATTTCATGAAAACAAAAATTGAATATTCAGCATCTTGCTATATTTTTAGGAAGTGGCTCACAAACCATGCTGAAATGTGTTGACCCATTAATGACATCAGACCTCAGCAGACATCAAGCACAGCTTAATTTCAGAATACAATCTATCTCTGAGGTTTCAGTAGAGTTATCTCAGTAACTCTTGGTTGTATCAGACAGCCCCAGACCCTTATATTGGATAAAGTTAGTTGGACTGCTCCAACCAGTTGCAGAGTTTTTAACAGCTTCACAGAGCTTAAACTAAATGCAGGTAATCTTCAATTTGCCACCAAAATTAGGAATGGAATGCCTGTTGTAAGTCACTACAATCAAATTGAGTCAACCTGTGAGCAAACCCAGATTTATGAAATTGTTAGGGTCTTGTGAAAAGAATCACATGATCACAGCCAGTGGTAATTCAAATAATTTAACAACCGGTTTTCTGCCCTAATGATTTCTTCCAACAACTAGTTCACCAAACTGCTCAGAAACTTAACAACTGGTTCTCCCGAAGTTGTGCGAACTGGCTAAATCCCACCACTGGTTACAGCTTCCTCAAGGGAGATTTTGTGCCGTATTTGATAAGAAACTGGCAAAAACACAAAGCTTGTATATTGTGGTCACATGAATACAGACATTGCAACTGGTTGCAAAGTGAGTCAGTTGCCAAGCGGCCAAATTATGATCATGTGACTGCAGGGGAGGGTGTAATAGTCATAAATGTGGTGCTTGTCATACGTCGCTTTTTATGAGACTGTTGTAATTTTGAACCGTTGTTAAACAAATTTTCATTAAGTCAAGGACTTCCTACAACTGGGTAATTGCCCAATACGCTACGCAAATAAGCTTATCAAGAGTAACCATATTGTAACCTAGCCTTATGCAAATTTCAGGAAGCCTTTTGCTAAACATGCAGCAGAGCTGACCAGAATTTAGTTACCTGGTATGCAACATTGAATGGCAGCCAGATAAAAAATAATAGGTTCCTCTTTTTTTCAGAAAGTTTTTCAACATGGAGGAAATTAAATGTGCTTGGAAACTTCATTAAAGTTGAGGCACAGTAGAAGATAGTTGTTGCTTTCTGCAGTCCTTGCCACATGAGGCAACAACATTCCACTTGCCACACCAACATTCCACTTGCGAAACCTCCTTTTATTGCAGTGGAGGGCAGACATCAGAACATCACAATGCTCTATGATCTTTAATTGGTGATTGGGAGTAATCTGCTAATTTGGTGGGAAATGTATGCTGTACCAGCAGATTCCAATAGACTGCAAAGCTCCATTCATCTCCAGCTGTGATTCAACATTACATCTACAGTGTGCCGTTTGAGAATTTTTATGTACAGATCACAGCAACTTGAAGGGTACACCATAGTGAACCATTTTATACTCAACAAGCCTCTTCCGCTGACTCTGCTGTCGATTTAACAGCAACAATAGGATTAGATCATCCTATGAAAACATTGCTCAAGCTAATTGAAGATTGAGTTGCATTACTCCAATCTCCAATCTTAAGACTCTACTTGAAACATATTTGGAAGCTTGTAAAGCTCACAGTTTTTAATTGATGCTTTATGTTATAGTTGTCTGTGTACTCAGTTGAGACCCATACTGCAATCATGCAGAAATGCAATGCCGTTATTAGAGTAATCATAGGTTTGGATTGTCACAATGCTCCTTCATGTTTTTGGAGATACATATGTGGGTATCTCTTCATCCAGTATAATAAAACAAACTGCAAGGATCTGGCCTAGTTGATTTGTCAGAAGAGAGGGTTGTTGTTGTTTTTTTAGGATGGGAACTTGAAAAGGGGAGAGCAACCTTAATATTTTGTTTTTCCTTGAAGATGTTTTGCTTGATGTGGTAGTTGAGGCACCAATCTAGAAATCAGGAAACCAAGGGTTCTAGTCTTGCCTTGCCACAAAGCCAACTGAGTGGCCTTGGGCCAGTCACTCTCTCACTACCCTAAGAAGAAGGCAAAGGCAAACCACTACTGCAAATCTTGCCAAGCAAGCTCCAGTGATCTGTCCAGAAGTCAACACTGACGCAAAGAGACAAAACAACAACAACCCCTGAATCAAGTACTTTATGAATTTTAGCTCTTCATTCAGATTATAGAGCTGAATGCAGGATTAAGAAACAGTTTTTACATAATCCCTATTCAATTCAGTTGACTTCTACAGGAAAACATTTTCAACAAAAGTTCATAGGATCAAACCACACTTTAATTTTAAAGTGTGGTTTGTATTCAAAACTTTGCATGTGCAGTAAGTAAATGGGTGCAAGTTTGTCACCTATTGAGGTGGTGTTTGGGAGACCTGAAGAGATGCTTGTTGCAGTGCCAGTGGTTGGAGTAAAGAAAGTATTTTCATCATCTGTCAAGAAATAAACAAAATGTTAGCATCACATCCAGAAATAACTGCTAATATATTTCCCATCTAGGGAAACAGTTTTAAAGCTGAAAGGAAAGAAAATGTGTCGTGTTGCTTTTACAAATCAAAAATAGAAGAATATAATTAAAGGAAAAAATTAGAACTACCCGTTATAAGGTATTACATGCTACACTCAATCTATTGCACAATAACAGAGCTTACATACTGAACAAACATGCATACAACTAATGTTAATTTAAGGTGAAATCCTTCCCCTACTTAATTGGAGATTATGACAACTTTCAGTGGTTGCATCAGGGGTCATGATGAACAATGATCTGTCATAATGGTAATCAGATTAGGGTAAAATTAGTCTTTTTTTTTACCCCATGACTTGCTATAAAGGAGGAAGCTATTAAAAAAAATGTCACAAACTTAATAGAGCAGTCATGAAGATATTAGAAAAGATATTTAAATGCTATAATGTTTTTACACTGAAACATAAGCAGAATTGTGCAACCCATATTCATCTGTAAACTTTGAATTTGATAATGCATTGATTTCAATGCTACTGAATCAGTGGTTTTCTAACTCCCTCTTACTACAATATCCTGTGCTAATTTATAAGACTTTGCCTTAAAAAAAATTAACAGTCACACCAATGTTAGGGTTGGACAAGAAATAACATGCCACTCTTTGACCTTGTAACATCCTTAAAAAAAATAGAATACTGATCAAAGATCATAATAAATATACTACTGCTAATCTATATCTAATCTATTAAGGTACTAATCTAAATAACATAAGGGTTGTGAAACTTTGTGGTACTGCAACTGCTCACTCTAGGTTTTGCAGACAGAAGCAGAACCAAATCCCATAGCATGTTTTCACAGCATGTTTACTCTTCCTGCATCAGTCCATTCAAGTTTTTCAACTCACATACATGTGTATGCAAAATGACACACACACATGTTGCTTGAAACTTCCAGGGGGTTCAATCCATAGATTGAGAGGTCCTGCTTTCCATGGTCAGAGCACAAAAAAATAATTTGCCTATCAGAATGTCACAACTTAATCAAACAGCAGTTTTATATGCTATCCTTTCCCAACGTGAGGCTCTCCAGATATGCTGGACCAGCTCCCCTAATTCCCACAGCCTGCATTGTTAAAGGATAGATTAGTAAACATCCTGGGAGCTGGAGTCCAGCACATCAGAAGAATGCTCAGGCTGAGCAAGCTGTGATGTGTACTTATCTGAGAGTAAGTCTCCTTAAAGTCAAAGGGACTTGCCAAGCTTTGGCAACTACAAAATGGGTTGAAATATTGCTCTCTTGCAATTTTGCAAAAACAGAAAGATGTTACATCATTCAGATGATCGATGTCCTATAACTTATGCCTCAGCTTGTAGGAAAAATAATCCCGAAAACAAATAGAGGTTGACTTTCAACATGTTAATTCTATGTGAACTTATAACATGGAAAATGTCTACCTGACACACAAAAATTGCGAGTGTGTATGTGTGTGCGTGCATACGAACAGAGATGCATGAATATTTTATAACATTGGATTTATTTGTCAAATTTAGATACCATCCATCTCACTCTGAATCAGATACATAATGTTGCATATTGGCCCAAGCATCTGATTATCTGATTATTTTAGGGCATAGTCATAGCACAGGAGTCCCACTTATGTTTCACTTATTGCTACACTAAGCAAATGGTGTTAATATTCCCGAATCTCAAAATTTTCATCAGCAGGAGGAGGAAGTAGTTCTAAATATCACTTAAAAGACAAGGCTAGCTGGAGGCTCCCTAGAGGTTCAGACTTTGCTGATGCATAAAACAAAGTAGACCTCAGGCCAGTTTGTACCTTGATGAGATACATCTCCTTCAGCACTTTCCCCTGTTTTTACCTCTCAGATACTACAGAAAGAGCTGCTGTCTCATTTCCCACTTCATTGTCTAGCTACATACATAAACAACCTTGGCTAGCCTGATGCCATCCAGAAGGGTTCAGAGAAGTAGTTCCCAGCATCCCCAGTATACCAGTCCCAGTCTGTGGGAATTTGGAGAGCTATGGGTCTAACACTGGGGTGTCAAACTTGCTTCATTGCGTGATGTAACACAACTTTTTCCCCCTTTGCTAAACCAGGCGTGGGTGTGGCCAGCAACGTGACACATCCGGTCTGCAGGCTGCAAGTTTGACAGCCCTGGTTTAACACATCTGAAAGGCGCCAGATTGGGGGAAGCTAATATAGAGACTGACCATTCCAGACAGAGCAGAGCTATCACCATTACCTCCATTCTTGCATTGCAACTCAGCATAATCAAGAGCCCCAATAAAATGCTTCCAGCCCTAAGGAGTTCAGCCTTTGAAACATAGACACAGAGCTTTCCCATTGCAAATAGACAATATTTACAAGGCCTTACAACCTGAAATTCTCGGTTTAGCTCGGTTTCCTTATGCCTGAATCGCTAAAGCAAACCTGAGATAGTGAGGGAAGCAGATGTAGCAGTGAAAGCCACACTCTCTTTGGTAAGAGAGGTTTCAGTAAAATTAACAGCCTGAGAAACAGGAGGAGGCACTGTTTCGTTGGTTGGAGAACCAGGCTTTGCTTCAAAGGTGCTTGCAGGTGAGAATGGAGTGGTGCGTGAAGGAGTCAATGAAAAGTCAGGAGTTGTTTTTCCTATGGAGGGCAGATAAGGAATGGGGAAAAAAATCAGCGTTATTGTACACAGATTAAAACAAAATTCCCCACAAATTGATTTGGTTCACTCAGAAATGTATGAAACACAGTACAGGTAGTCCTCGATTTACAACAGTTCATTTAATGGCCGTTCAAAGTTACAATGGCACTAAATAAAGTAACCTATGACTGTTTTTCATAGTTATGACAATTCATGATCATGTGATCAAAATTCAAATGCATGTGATCACCTTCTGGGACCTTCTGAGAAGCACAGTCGATGGGGAAGCCAGATTCACTTAATGAATGGGTTACTAACTTATCTACTGCAGTAATTCACTTAACAACTGCAGCAAGAAAGGTTGTAAAATGGGGCAAAACTCACTTAACAAATGTCTCACATTAACGACAGAAAATTTGGGATCCATTGTGGTTGTAAATCAAGGGCTACCTGTAATGACCTGAGACTATTTCTCAGAGGCAAAACGCCGGTCTACTCACCCATTCTTCATTTTGTTACTTTACTATCACTTCCATCCTTAAATTTAGCAATTCTGCCTATATTAAAGGCAGTTTAATGTTTCAATGCAATTACACTTTAGAAGAATACAACACTGATTTCCTGATAAAGTTTACTGTAGCCACAATGCACATTTTTAGCACTTTTAACCCTTCTAATTCTTCAATTATATTGTTATTAAACTTCCTGGAAGTTGCAGTATATCAAATATATTAAATTAAAATAAAACTAGCTTCACTGATCAGAAAGTCACAGGAATCACCCCAAAAGGCTAGTAAAAACAATTTTCAGTGTTTGCCTCTTGAAACTCGTTAAACATATATCAGAGGGAAAATACACAGTTCATTTATACCAGGGGTGTCAAACTGGATTTCTTCAAGGGCTGGATCAGCATTGTAGTTCTCCTCCATGGGCTGATGGGGCGGGGGCAGCAGAGGTTGATGCAGAGGTCACCTCCTGCAGCACTTTATGGGCCAAAATGGGACATGGGACCTGTGCATGGACCCCACCCCCACACCTCATTTTCAGATTCCACCGCCTCCAGCAGTATTCTGCCAGCTGAAAACAGGCCTCCCAAGGCCCCGCGTGGCCATTTTTGGCTGGCAGAGTGCTGCTGGAGGCAGTGGAGGCAAAAACTGGGCCCTGTGGGGGGGTCCGTCATAGCCCATTTTTGGCCTATTTTTGGCAGCAGAGGCACTGAGGGTCAATGCTTTGATATCACCAGATAGGTCCCGCAGGCTGGATGTAAGCATCCCATGGGCTGGATCTGGCCCGCAGGCCTTTAGTGCTAATGTATACTGTTAGCATATGATCCAGCAACCCCATTTCTGAGTGCAGTTTACAAAACCAGTAAAAGTATAAGATGCAAACATAAGCATATCCACACATTTCAGTTGCTCCTGTACTGGGCTCATGCAAATTTGATGAAATCATTTTATGAAAATCTTATCCAGACTGAGACACTCTTCCAACAATTTGCAAGATAGGCAAGGTATCAAATGATAAGCTACCACATTCTCTATTTGACAAGCTCTCTGCTGCTGTGCCTTGCCATTATTTTCTCTCCCAAAAACAATTGTGAATTATTTTCTCTTCTGTGGGTGGGTCTTCTGGAGCTCACATGCATGCAAAAACACATGCACAAATATCTACACTGTTGTGTATAAGTGTATGTGAGTGTACATTTGTGTACACACTTATACACCAAGGCAATAAACTAGTTTAAATAGATAAGAACACTTGAGGTCACATAAGATAGAAAAGTGTCTTTCAGGGACAGCATAACAAATCACATCTTGGAAGTTGCTTTTATAAGTCGGAAATCCATAGAGGATGGCATTGTCTATTTTTGTCTTCCTATTTTGGCAATGGGACAACTGGGCAGTATAGATAAACCCATAGGTACTACCGACAGAATTAAATTAACAACACCTGGGAAAACAGGTATAGATAACCCCATAGGTACTGCAACAGAATTAAATTAACAACACCAGGGAAAACAAACTAAACCAATATTTCCCAAAAATGTAGAGAGAAGAGTGTAATGTTACTAACCATTAGAGGTCAGTACCATTTTTTTTCTTTTTACAACCCTGTAATTCTTTGCCTCAGGATGGAGTCAGGGCAACTGAATGAAGCTGAGTGTTTACTGGCCAGATGCCCTTCCTGATGCTACACAGAGTTCACAGCAGATATTTTGTCTTTGCGCTCTCATAGAGAAACATCTGCCTCTGCCTAGGACCGAGCTCTCAGCTTCCTGATTGTGAGCAGCTAGGACACCACGCTGCTGAAAGGTTAATACCATTGAATAATGTGAAATCAATTATATAAGGATAGAATGCAAACCCTCTTCTATTTTGGGTCACTTTATAGCAACTTGATTCCAAAGCTGTAATGATACATCTCCACCCCATTACCCTCATTTCTTAACAAGGTTGTGCTCATGAGGATGTTGCTGATGAATGGCTATTGTGGCATAAGATCATATCCCATGAAAAACCAAGTTTTCACAAAAACAAATTAAATGCACATATTGCTTACCATTTGTTGCTTTCATAATAGATGTTGTTTGTGGTGCTGTTGTTTGGCCTAAGAAGGAGAAAAAAGGAGACTTGAATACATTGTAGTTTGAAAAAAATGGTCCAGATATTTTAGGATGGACAAGTTTTTTTTTTAACAAGAAAGAAAAATGCTTTATGGGACAAAATGTATTTATTTTTTATTTGAAATGTGTACTTGCCACGTGGCTAAATGTAACTGCCCAGTATCCAGTATTGGCATATCTTACTATATCAAATGTAATTCAAATGATGTATTCTGCATAATCCTCATTATTTCATGATGATGATATGACATGCAAGATGACATTGTACCTTTCATACAACAGCTGCATACCTTCTTTCAAATTCTTGGAGAGAGACATAATTGTTAATATGACATGCCCTCAGACTAGAGACTCTGTGATTCAATAAATGAACTCTAACATAAGCAGACCTCAATCTAACATAGTACTGTTGGAAGTTAAAACCCATCCCTCTCCTAGGAAAATGAAATATTTTAGGATACACTAAAAAGGCAGAATATTTCCTCTAAAAGAGAAGTATAAACTTAAAGAGGCAGAAACTCAGCTCCCCTCCACCTTTGTTAATGGGCCATTAAGGCCTGGGCCAGTCTACTCTACATAACAAAGATCTACCTCCTTCAGGCAGAGCCATAATAGGGATCCCAAAGCCCTTTCATTATATCATCCAGCAGGCTCAACCAAGCCTGGGACTCAGGACAGCCTACAGAGTTGCCCCTGCATGGCCCCATGGGAGTTTGACAACCAATCAGAATACAAGCTCAAATTCAAATCCCAACAGAGGGCATAAAACCAAGGGTCTCTCAGCATCTTGCCTCTTTTCTTTTTCTTCACCCAACATCTTGAAGTATGTAATCATCCTTTTGGATGATTTGGAGCTCCAAGACATGTGATCCTGTCCACCATTAAACCATCTTTCCAAGCAGTTGCCATGTTTCCAGTGTCTTTCTTCCCCACTTGGAACTGAACCCAGAAGGATATTTCTTCCAACAATATCTTTGGGAGTTTTCAGGGAACCAGGTCCAGCTCTCTCTATACATTTAAAAAAAATACTAACAAAGGTTTATCAATATGAAATAAAGGGTGCCCACCTCATCCAGCATAAGCAGTTTTGAAAAGTTTATTACTTACAGTATAATAAGCTGTTTATTTACTGATTTATTACCAGTTTGTTTCTAAGGAGTATTTTAACTGGTTGATAGGTCCCTTCCTACCTCTTGTGTAATAATATATTTATTTATTTATTTTTGTCAATTTGCTTACAAGATAATAGGTATAAGTAAAAACATAGTTATGAACACATGGACACATATAAGAAAAATAAAAGAAACAATAGGACAGGGAGGGTAGGCACGTTGGTGCCCTTATGCACGCGCCCTACAGACCTCTTAGGAAAGGGGTGAAGTAATTGTAGACAGTCTAAAGTTAAAGTTAAAGTTTTTGGGGTTTGGGGAAGAAATCACAGAGACAGGTAGAGTATTCCAGACATTGACCACTTTGTTGCTGAAGATGTATTTCCTGCAATCAAGTTTGGTGCAATTAACCTTGAGTTTGTATCTATTGTTTGCTCTTGTGTTGTTATGGTTGAAGCTGAAGTATTCATTGACAGGTAGGACATTGCAATGTATGATTTTATATACTATACTTAGATCAGACCGAAGGCAGAGTAGTTCTAGGTTTTCTAGGTCTAGAATTTCGAGTCTGGTGGCATAAGGTATTCTGCAACGAGTAGAGGAGTGGAGAACTCTTCTTGTGAAATATTTCTGGACTTTCTCAACTGTGTTAATATCAGATATGTAATTTGATTTATTATTTTGATAAATTGATTTCCATCTTGGTTTTTTTTAAAGATGGAGGCTAACAAACTTAAAATAGACAATAAAATTTTTAAACATGAGTTAAATGGAACACTACAGCGAATTAACAGCCTAGCAAAAGAAAACCCACACTGGTTCAGGCTCAAGGTTTTGAGATTGTTCACAACTGGATTCACTTGTGGGTTCCTGGGGAAAATAAGTCCCTTACTTAGGACTTCTTATCTCACATTTAGGAAGATCTCCTAAATGTCCTGTAATTTAATTCTGTTAAGTCCTGTAATTTAATCAACTGTTTTTAGTTTCCTGAATGTAAGGAAAGAAAAATATGTGAATATATACTGTATTTTTCGTACTATAAGACTCTCTGAACTATAAGACGCACTGGTGGTGGAATTTAAAAAGTTTTACCACTGGTTTGGTGGGCATGGCTTGGTGGGCGCACTTTGCGCATGTACACACACTTTGCATGCATGCATGCATGCATGAAACATGTATTTTGCACAGGTGCAGAGGCGTTCCAACTCACCTCTTGCAAGTCTGCAGTCTCCTGGTCACTTCAGCAGCTGCGCACAGCACTCTACTGTGCCGTGCAATGCAGCTGCACTTCAAAAGCAGGGAATAAAGGTGGGTATGGGAGCCCAGGCAGGTGGGTGGGCCCAACAGCAGAGCGGCGGAGAGAACCAGTTCGGTTCTCTGCTGCTCATTGGTGGGTGGCGGGCCAAACCATAGAATACCACCACTGAGATGCACCTAGTTTGTGGGGAGGAAAACAAGGGGGGAAAAAATCTGCCTCTGCCTGCCAGCAATATGCCTCCTTTCAGCAAACAGCAAACAGCCTGGTCAGCTTCAGCACAGCTTGATTTAGTCTGTAGGGATCACCACTATCTATCACTACCTCTGCCCACCCCATTTTCAGCCTCTGCGTGCCCCATTTTCGGCCTTCGTGCACCCTGGTTTTGGCCTCCGCGCATCCCTTGGGGTACACAAAGTCTGAAAAATGGGATGCGCAAAGGCCAAAAATGGGGCACGCGGAGGCAGCAATAGGTGATGGTGATTGGAACAGCTGATTGTCAGTATTCTGGGAGGCAGATCCAATCAACAATGGTCATGCTAAATCAGGCTGTGCTGAAACTGACCAGGCTGTTTGCTGTTTGCTGAAAGGGCTCTAATTGCTGGGAGGCAGAGGCCGAAGGGTGGGGGGACAATGGGTGGGTGGAGCTTCGGCAACATTCTCTGTATAAGATGCACAGACATTTCCACCCACTTTTTGGGGGGGGAAAGTACATCTTATACAGCGAAAAATATGGTAGGTACTCACACAAACATAGATTGTATACACGACGGATATCCACAAGTTACCTACAGAGACTGACATGCTCATTGTACTATCGATAATCTTCAACTTACACCTGGTCAATTAATCATTTGAAGTTATGTCAGACCCTGAAATGTCTACTTCTGTCCTGGATTCAAAGTTCCAGTGTCAGCCCCACTCAGGGGTCACATGAGCACATTTTGGATGTTCACCTGCATTTACAGCCATTTGCAGGGCCGTGCAATTTTGTGATTGTGATTTATGACATTTTTTCTGGAAGTTGATGTTTATGATGTTTACTTCCAGTTACCAGTAAAAACTGCCCCAAAGCAAACAATGTATTTACTTAACAACCATCATATTTGTTCAATGACCACTACAAAAGAGGCCTAGTCAGAGGTGGTATTCAGCAGGTTCTGACCAATTCTGGAGAACTGGTAGCGGAAATTTTGAGCAGTTCAGAAAACCGGCAAATACCATCTCTGAATGGAGATTTTACAGTATCCTTCCCCTGCCATGCCCATCAAGCCGCACCCACAGAACCGGTATTAAAAAAAATTGATTGAATCCCACCACTGTTCATAAGATCACAATAAAGCATAACTCACAAGCTACAAACCAAGGTTGACTGGGCTCATGCTATATGTTAAACCCGAAAGAAACAAACCAAATTATGATTTAGTATGAGAGATGAGTCCAGCCCAATCAACTGCCCACATAGATACTGCCAGATACAAGATAAAGTAGCCACATAGAAAGACAGAGGCAGAGTGGGAATATAAGTGATACATTTGTGTATTGTGTATATACATCCACACATGCATATAAGTAAGATTTATGTATTATCTGTGATGGGATAGAAAGTTTATTAATACTTATGCACCATTATTCAGCTGTGAAAGGTACAGTAACCAGAGGACAGTCATCAGGTTATTCTTTTTGCTATCTTTGCTCATCCGTGAGTTTTTTAAAAGCATTTGACAAGAAATCAGTAGATGGCACCATAACATAATAAACTCTAACAAACTCTATGTGGTAGAAATCAGTTTCACTATAACAAGGTAGCTATGAGCCACCCAGGCAATTGATGAAGAGAGCTGCTTTTAAAAGATCAAGATGTAAAAACCCTATGGCTGTGATCACATCTAGATAGTTAATTATATTTTACACAGTTCACAGGGGTTTAGGGAAGCTTATATGATTGGAACTTCAACATAAATATAATATTTGTAAGAAAACATTGCTAACTTTTGGCATGTTTTTGATAAAAAAAATGTTTTACTGATATTTGATCATCTGAGGCCCACAGTTTTTTGTTTTAAGAAACTTCAGTTGCCCCTACAAGTAGTCACAACAGATTTGGGTTACAAAAATTCAGGTGACCAGCAGCAAAGGTTTGGTTCTAATTTTTCCAGCCTGTGTGTGGTCTGCCTTCTCCAAGGTACTAAACCTTTCTTAAATAGAAAAAGATGGCTGCCAGTAACATAAATGAAGGATCTTTCACACAAGATAATCTAATGGCTATAAACCCCAGAGACCAGAAAATAACCTTTCTGCGGTTCACAGAAGCAAATCCTCCAAAATTGGAAAGAGTTTCAAACTTTTGAAACATATACAAAATAAATTTCAAGGGGGAGATTTCAAGAGGGGGAAAGGATTGTCACTGATGTATCCCACACTGTATGGTAGTATGTGCCTATATGTCAGACACCAAGCATGCATGCAGAATGCTAATGCATTGATAATAGCTCAGCCAGGCAGCCCAGCATCATAGAAGATGATTAAACAGAGTTTCCAACAATCAAATCTATTATAAAAACAAGAATCTTATGCAAGCTTACTGAGAAATAAACCCTTCTCTGATTACATCCAAATG